GGGGGAGGGGGAGAGGGGGGGACTGTGTGTGGCTAGGAGAGGGCGGCAGGAGGGGCCACCAAAGTACAAGTCGACTCACAATCCTCAACAGCGGTAAACCCGGCTGTAACCTAGCGGGGCCCTATATATACGGTAGAAGCCCAGGAGGCGAGACGGTACGGCGCCAACGCAAATCCCCCAACCTCACCCTCACCCTCACCCGCACTTGGCACACCCCCTTATCGGAAAGCCCCCCACCCTGCCGCAACCTGAGGGAGATGACACCTCCCCCGGTAAAGCGCCAGCAGGACGCCAGATGCCGCCGGCTCCCCAACTCCCCAGCCCATCAAATAGAATACGGCAGCACGGGAACCACCACTGGGCCTTACCACCACCTAGCCATCCACACCCATCCACTCATACCCACACGCCCACATATTATGTACATATACATATACATATACATACATGCATATGAATATGTATATATATTCATATTCGTACATATTTATATGTATATATATATGAATATGTATTATACTGCCCTGCAGCCCCGACTCGGAGCACCCTGCAGCCCCCCCCCTCCACCCGGCCCCCCCGTACCTGTAATGCATCCACCCACTCGTCCCTGCTGCGGCCGTTACCCGACGGTGGCAGCTGCAGGTGCAGACAGCGGCCTCTCTCCAGGTGCAGAGAGAAGCAGCGGAGGGGGTTGAGGGCGGCCGGGGGGGGGAACCGGGACCGGCCCATGAAAGCGGCCAACACGCCCGCCCAGGGCCGCTCCTGGGCACTGGGGAAACCGGACGAGCCCCTGTCAGCTCGCTCCAGCTCCTGAAGGGGAAGGAGCGGCCAGGGTTGGGGGGTTCGGGGTTGGGGGGGTTGGGAGAGACAAGGGAATGCGACGCCAAAAGGGGGTAGGGAGGCGTTTTGAGGTATGTGTGTCTGTGTGTATGTGTGCGTATGTGTGTGTATGTGTGTGTATGAGTGTGTCTGTGTGTCTGTATGTGTGTGTATGTGTGTATGTGTGTGTATGTGTGTGTATGTGTGTGTATGTGTGTGTATGTGTGTGTATGTGTGTGTATGTGTGTGTATGTGTGTGTATGTGTGTGTATGTGTATTGCTGGCTTCAGAGAAGACGACGGAGAAGAAGCGGAATGTTTTGTAATGGATGATGACAGTGATGATGGTGGTGTTCGTACATCGCAAACCTACCTGAGGTGAGAAGCTCCGAGACCACAACTCGGTGGCCGCCGCAGCCCGCTCCTGCGCCCGTTCCCCGGCGGAACCCAAATCCGGGTCCACCTGTACGACACCACGTTGTTCATTGTACCACACCACCACGCGCTGTACATCCCTTGCCAGGTGCAGCTGGAAGCGAGCCCCCTCCACGAGGGCGCGGTGGTTCTCAAATCGCCTGTTGCGAAAGACACAAGGGAGAGCCAGATGTCGACAAAGTTGCAAAAGCAGTCGCAGCAGAAACCATTAGCAGTGGCAGCAGTAGCAGTAATAACAGCAGTAGTAGTAGTGGTGGAAAAGCTGCAGCTCAGCGCGATATGGCGCAGCAATGGCAGCGCTGCGTCTGCCACGGCAGCGGCAGCGCCGTACAGCCGTACCACCACTTTCTCTATATATATACATATCTCTTGGCCAATTCAGCAGAGCATACTCAACTCCACGTACGTACCTGAGCCGTACCATCGCATCGTAGTTGCGGGTCACCTCTGACAACCTCTCGTGTAGCCGAGCACAGATTTGCCGCTCCACCTGGGGGGCCGCCCGCCCGGGAGACAGACGAACAACAGAAATATTATCTCATATCATCTCAACAGCGCAACGTACGACACCCAACCAAAACACATCAAACCGCATCCCACGCCCCGCGCCGCGGTTGTGTGCACCGTACTTGCACCGTACCTGGATCCGTTGGATTTTCCGCCTAAAACCCTAATTCTTTTGTACCTGAGATTTTCGCTGTGCCAGAACCGGGGCCCCGTCTGAATCTTAGGGCATAAGGCCCAGCTGCCCGTGGAGAGGTTTCGCCCCCTTCGCGCCCCGGGCCCTTCCCCCCTCTCCCCCCAAAACCCATTGCCAATCACCTGGAGCAGCCTCTGCATCCGTACAACCTGGGCGAGGGACTTAAGCGAAGATGAAAAAGAAGCTGGCGGACCGGATGGGAGGCCCCACGTGGAGCCGAAGCCAGATGGAACTGCCGCCGGGCCGCCGCCACCGCCACCGCCGCCGCCGCCGCCGCCGCTGGCAGAAGCGGATACGGCCGAGATGACGGACAGCTCGTGCTGGAGACGCGGACCCAAGATACCGCTATCACCGCCGCTGTACGAGCCCTGTAAGACAGGCGGTGACCCTGGCGGGTACGGCATCAACTCGTCCATCAACATACCGCTGCCGAAGGCGGCGGCGGCTGCAGCCGCGGCGGCGGTGGCGGCGGAAAATGCGCTGCCGGTGTTCCTCTGGAACCAGAGGGGAGGGGGAACAGGACGTCGTGGTGTACGGCATGTGGCTCAGTACTTTTGAAGTTTAGAGAGGATGCGGACGGGAGGGAGAAGGCAGGCCGCGGGGAAAAAGTGAGGTAGACTGGTACGGGGCGGGCGCGAACCGGTGAACGACGGATGTACGGACGGACGGACGGAGGGACGGAAAGGCAGAGCACTACAAGGTGGCTGGGACACTGAGCAAGATGCAAGCGAGCGAGGGGAGCTTTGGCGACCAGCCAGCATCAGCATCAGCATCAGCATCACTGTGAGAAACATTGAGGTTGCATTCAGGGTGCGGCCAAGTACGGAGCGGGGGTCCCGTTCCCTGCATCGCAGTACGAACACGCACAGTACGGCACGGCAACCGATCAGTCATCACACGTACCTGCTGTTGCTGCTCTTCTTGCTCTTGCATCTGCGGTTGCGGTGGCGCAGGTGGAGGCGCAGGTGGTGATGCCGGCGGCGGCAACGGCGGCGGTGTTGACGGAGCAGGGCCGGCCAGGCTCACTTCGCTGGCGAGTACGGAAGTCGATGCCGATGTGGAGGCGGGAGCTGACAGCTCGGTCGCCGTCGCCGGTGCACTTGCCGTACTGGCGGTATGATTTGCCAGCGATGTTGATTGCCGCGCCGGCGGCAGCGGCTGATCGGAATCCGGCGGGGGGGATAGTGAAATGCTGGAACGTAGCGGTAACGGCTGCTGTGGGGGTGTAGCGGGGGAGGTACCTGCGCAGTGAACAGGGAAGGCGATGGCGGTGGCAGTGTGTGTGTGTCTGTTTGTCTGTCTGTGTGTCTGTACGTCTGTCAGCGTGTGTGTCTGTGTTTCATAATGATCTGAGTCGTGATGAGGGAAATGCTGGTTTGTCCGTCTGTGTGTTCGTCTGTGCGTCTGTCGGTTTGTCTGTCTGTGTGCGCAAGACGGTGTATTTGCCAGTGCAGGCTCCAGCCAGAGCAATGTCGGGGCCTATTAGATCCGGGGAGTGGGGACACGAATGAGGATACCTTCCGAGGCCATTGGGTTTGACGGCGGTGACAATGACGACGACGACGTCGGCTTCAAAGATCTGAATCTAAAAGGACGCCACCGCCGCCTCCAGCTCCCAATCAATCCATCCCCATCCCCTGCCGTACTGCCGTCGCCGTCGCCGTCGCGGGCCGAGCCATCCACATTGAACGGTGATGGTGACGGCGAGATGAAAGGCCTCAGTTTGCAGTTCGGCGGAGTTGCGTCTTCAGTCCCTTCCGGCGGCAAGCGGCTGGCCCTGGCGGCAGCGGCGGCGGCGCCGCTGCCGCCTCCGTCAGCGTCGGTCGTACTGACGGCTGTCGCCTCCGCGAGCGACGCGTCCGCGGCATAGGACAAACCGAAGGTACGAACCTCCGCGGCGGTCCCGCCAGCGGTGGTGGCGTTCACGGCAGGGGTGGCGGCGGCGGAGGCAGATGCTGCGCCCGACTCCGCCACCGCCGATGGATCCACCGATGGATCTAGATCCACATCTGAATCTGGATCTAGTGCTCCGATGACATTTCGCCTGGCGAGCTCCTGCACAGGAGTCCGAAAGATGTGTCGGCATGTGCGGGTCGAAGCTTAGCGACTTGGGGGGTATTTTCATTCGTCTCGCCCGGCCAGGGACGTCCCTTCAGTGCCGCCCGCCACCCACTCTCACAACTCTCTGGTTCGAATCAATCCCTTATCTCCAAATATCAGTTGAGCATGTCTTCTGTAATACCTCTCAAGTCTAGAATATTCTCCTTCTTCTTGTCAGTTCTTGATTTACCCTACCGATCTACCATGCAACGGCCATCGACAGATCGCTGCAGTGATATTGGGGAGGGGAGCCCCCATACATAAGGTGTGTAAAGACGAGGGATTACACAAGTACAAATGTACATACATACAGACATACACACAAACACTTGGGGGCCCCCTTTTTAACCCAACACGCACATGCTCCTGTGCCGTACACAGATCCACTACCTTTTGCCGACCCCACCAGGGTGTGTGTATTCGCTCCTCACCTCCGAGGTACCCACCGGGCCAGGACCTGACATAGGGCCCACCTGGTGCTGCTGGCGGGGCTGGCGGGGCTGGAGGTGGTGGTGGTGCTGATGATGATCAAGTCGATGATGATGCGGATGATGATTAAGGTCGCCTCCCCTTTCACTTCCCTGGAGGATCCGCCGCTTCCATGCAGCTCCGAAACCCAATAACCCGACAATGGCACGGCGGTGCTTACTTCCCCCGGGGGCCCCGACGGGCCCGCCGTCGGCGCAGGCGGCGGCGCTACAGCCGTTACTGCTGGGGCAGCCATCCGCCTTCGTGCCAGCGTGGGGACTGCTAGAGCTTCTGCAGCCGCCGCGGCCGCGGCCGCTGCCGCGGCAACCGGCCTTCCTGAGCTTTCTAAGGGCCATCGGCGCCGCCGTCAGCCACGGCGAGTTGATTGATGTCGCAGCCGCTGCCACCGCCGCTGAACCGCTGAAGCCTTCCGCGTCGTTTGCATCTAGGGAACGCCGCGGCGTCGCGCCGGTACTGGATACGGCAGCGGACGCGGCGTCGCCGACGCTGCTGCCGTCAGCAGTCACGCGGATGGTTTGTGCGATACCGCTGACGCCGCTGACGCCGCTGATCACGGCCGCCGTTGCCGTATCTGCCGCCGCCGCCGTCAGATCACACTGCCATGATCCCGACTCCAAGCTGCGACCCTGCTGCTGTAGCGTGCTCCGTACGGCGGCGCTAGTATCCGGGGCCGTACGGCTGTACGCTCTGTCAATGGGTACGGCTTCGTCCAAGAAAGCGTACGACCCGTGATGTACGGAACCCGACTCAAAGTTCCTAGATACTCCAGCGGCGGCGCCAGGGCGAGACACGCCGAAAAGGTTGTCGCCAGCGGCTTCACCGCTGCCGTTGCCGTACATGGGTGCCGATCCCGTAATGTCCTGCATTCTAGCGGCGAGTTGCCCGAGTGCTGCCGCCGCGGGGCTGTTGGCCGCAGCGGCCATGTGCTCGTACCGCCGTACACCGGCTGTAGCACCGCCGCCGCCGTCGGGCCCCACTGACGTCGCGCTCTGGTACGACCCTACAACATTATAGCTGTGCGAAGATGGTACGGCAATGTGTGGCGATGGTTGCACAGGAGCTGGCATCATTGGGCCGGCGGTGGCGGATGTGGTCGCTGCGGCTGGCCCTGCCGTACGGGCTGCATCATGCGAGAATGGGCTGGGCCTCTTCGGCAGCGCCTTCACCCAGGAGATCTGCGATTAACCAACAGAAACCAACCAACAACAATTAACCAACAAAACCAACGAGATATGTCGTACAATATCCTCCCAGATAATTTCGATAAGTATTCCGGTCCTCTCCAACGCCCGAAATCGCCACCATCCATCCCCTTCCCGTAAAGGCTGTACTCGACTGCCGAACATTGCGTTACCTGCAGGTTAAGTGTACCCCGCGGCCAACCACCGCCGCCGCCGCCGCCGCCGCCACCCCGCACCGCCGCCGTCAGCTCCAACAATTTGGGTCGCACCTCACCATTGACCTCCAGTCCCATGGATCCAAAATCCAATACTGCATGACTCAAAACCTCAGGCTCGCCAAATGTACGAGCGTTGAAAACCCGGAAGTGCAGCAACGCCGACGGCTGCGCGCCTTTGCCAGCTCCCCCCGCCACGACATCCGCGGGCAGTCGAATGTCAAACTGCCAGTTGAACACGGGATCTGCCGTACGGTGTACGATGGGTGTACGGAAAACTTCCCTTCCGAAGCGCATCTCGACGTACGGGTCGCAGTCCGTCACGGGAACTGAGGCGCCGCCGCCGCCGCCGCCGCCACCCGGCGGCAGCATTGGGCCGGCGGAGCTCCGGCCAGAGGCGAGATTGCTGTTGCTGATATTGAGATTGCTGTTGCTGTTACTGTTGCTGATGGTGTTCAATGTTGTTGGCGGCGGCGGTTGCGTGAGGTTGCGGGCCCCCAGGACGCACACGCGGAGGCAGCCCCCCGGACCCCCCACCTGCAACCCGGTGGTGATGTCCGTTAGTTAGTTGGCAGTTAGATAACGGCTCTCGGGTTGCCGCCAAAAGAGTTAAGAAGGGGAAACCCTAAGACCTGAGGTTAATAACATGGAATGTGTATTTGGAAAGAAAATGCGGTACGGATAGACCAACGAGAGACTCTCTTCGAGCGGTTTCTAATTTCTGCACGAGGGAGAGAACACCCGCCGCGTTTCATATTCAGATTCAGTCATCCATTCAGCCATGTCAACTGTGATTGCAAGATGATCGTGGCGGCTGCAGTTCGCGGTGCGATTAGTTGTTAATGGAGGTTCTTATGGTAGGTTAGCTAATGGCGGTTGCCATTGGGCCATCTTCAACTCGAACCATCACTCCATCACCGACCAGGCAGTCTACCGCGCGGGGCGTTAACCCCCCCCCCGCCCCGGGAAGCACATCCAGCGCCCCACCGGGGGCCCCTCCCTCCCCTGCCCCCCTTAAGCCCTCCCTCGCACCTTCTGCAAGTACTTATTTCGATATATTTTCTGAAGGTCCAGGTACTTCCGCTCCGGCTCCACCATCTTCTTGTTGATAACCCGCTGCAGCAGAGACCTCAAACCGTTAATAAGGCCCGGTAGCTCACCGCTCAAATTGAAAGAGCCTGCGGAAGGTGGGGGGGTGAACGTTCCGGGGGGGGTGTTTCAGGGTTAAAGAGGGCTCCGGGTTTTAGGGGGGTTTTGACCGCCTTGTTTTTCAAGGCCATGGCATCTATGGCATCCCTCACTTAAAATTGATAAACAAAATGGGATATGAAATGAGAGGAGCCGAGGGGGTGACATAAGAAGATGGGAGCTGCAGGATTTGGATTTTTGGTCTTAGGCATAAACATTCGTTCATCGGATTTAAATTTGGTTTTAAGTTCACCAGCAACCGAGCGCATTCCCTAGGCTAACTTTGCACCCCACCCACCGACCCACCGACCCACCGAGGGGATTAGCCTGAATATCGAACTCGGGGGGCTCCGCAAACGAATAATCCACACCCCTGTGCGGCAGGAGGAGGGGCGGGAGAGGGGCGGGAGGAGGGGCGGGAGAGGGGCGGGAGGAGGGGCGGGAGGAGGGGCGGGAGGAGGGGCGGGAGGAGGGGCGGGAAGGCGCATGGAAACAGGAAACGGGGGGGGGGGGGCCGCGAGAGGCGGATGAGGGAAATCATTAATATATCCGGATGGCGCAAAACCCGAAAGATGTGCAACTGCCTGGACGTCCCGAACTCACTCTCACACTTTCCCACACACACGCGCAACAGCAACAAGCCCCTCCCCCAAGCCTCACCGCACGCATGCACATTCCCATCCTCGCATTTCCCCAACAAGTACCAGTACCATTTAAAACCCCTTTTTTTGCTTCTTACATCATCCTAACATCCCCAACAGAGCCAATACACATTTCCCAAACACACACGCACACACACGGACTACAGAGCTTGCTTCAAAAACCTTTTACACGTGTGCCACCATCGCCATTTCCTCATCGCGGCTCAAATCATTCAGAGACACACACACACACACACACTCTCGCCCAAATCACCCCACCGTCACCCACCGTATGCCCGGGGACTCCCTAGTCAGGTGCAGTCCAAGATGCAACTTTCCCGCCAACCGTAACTGAGTGATCTCCAGTCGTACGGACAACGGCTTCATACCGCCACCTAGCTGCACCCGGGGGGTGAGGACCGCCTGAGTTAAGGGGTGGGGGTGGGAGTGGGGGGATAAGACGTACCACCGACCAGTGAAAAGCTGATTACCAGAGATAGATAGACGGGTACTGCAGGATTGGATTATACAGATACTGCGCAGAATGGTTTAGAAGTTACTGACCAGTAGTGATGAGCTGGGTAGGCAGGGGGGTGGGGGATTTTGGGGTTTCAGGAATACATACATACATACATACATACATACCCACGTATGCGCATGCAACATACCCACAAAGGGAGGAAGGTTTAAGGTGGCTATAAGTGGGGACGGATTTCTCTTATGATTGAGGACTCAGGAAGATGTGCCCCAGCCCCCAGTACGTACGACACGAGGTAGGGAGGGAAAAGATTGTATACAACACGTTTATGTTTGTGTGGGTCCTTGCCGCCAGCAGAGCACGTGTTGCACCATCTCAGACCCCCGACCCCGCGGGCAGTTGTGTAAAATGAACGGCTACCGCCGCGCCAACTACGAGGCAGGACTTACACCCTCCAAACCAACCAACCAACCAACCAACCAACCAACCAACCAACCGACACACCTGAAAGCCATTGCTATGAAAATGCATGTTCATGGTCAGAAGCAGGTACGACCGATTCGGGTCGTACTTTGCCGTACAGAACTGAAATTGCGGCGGCGCCAAGCCAAACGTCACCTCCTCCACGGCAATGGACTGAATGTACTTCCAGGGGCTCTTGCCGCTCCCCTTCCGAAGCAACTGTTAAAATGGAATGATCCGGAAAGGGGAAGGGCCGGAGAATCATATACGAGAAGCGCGTTGCATGCATACATACATACATACATACATACATATACAAGGGCTTGGCACCACTGGTAACGCGCGACCATTGCCCCCGGGAGATATTGGGATCGATACCCGTTAGGGTCAAAAGTCCTTCCGATGGTGGAAGGCATTGCGTCCCTAGTTGATGGACGGTGGTGACCTGGGATAAAGTTAACCTGCGAGCCGACCAGAAATGGAGTTGGGCCGCTGTCGACCCGGCAGATTCCGTTGGATGCTGGTGGTGGGTGCGGAACCTGAGCGATCCACTGAGAAGTTGACTAGGGTGACTGGATGAAGGTGCCCCGAAATACCGGGGAAGGCAGGGTTTCGCAGGGTAGCTGCCACGGGCGAAGATACACCCCTCTGTTTCACACATCATACATACATAGATACATGTCTGAATCGGGGTCAGGAGCACACAAGACTAACCGACTTGTGCTGTGTGCTCCCGACCCTTGCGCTGTGTTTCGGCTTCGGCCCCCGGCTCTCGCGGCCCACAGTGTAATCTAAGTCATACATACATACATACATACATACATACATACATACATACATACAGCCTATAATGATAGGCGTGCGGAAGAGGGATTCGGTCATCAACAGAGCATGTTGGAGGCCATGAAATAGAAGCCAGCACGTCTGGCGAGAATGTTGGAACGTATGTGGGCTCACCGCAACTCAGTTATCCCCTTTGGGCGCTAGCCTGGACTAATAGTGCGGTGTTTCCTTTTCTGCGTGGCTTTTAGGCGTATAGATATTGCCCTTGGGCCTTCGGCTCGGTAGTTTTACAGGTATGGGTCACGCACCCCCCAACCATATGATACACACACATACATACATACACACGCCACTGCCCCACCTCATTGAGAATCACTTGCAGTTTCTCCGCCGCGAGAGTGGAAATAAACTTTTCCAACACCGGTAACCACAAATGCTGGACCAGCACATTAAACCAACCCATTGTGAAGGATTCGTACAGAGCAGCAGCAACGGCGGCGCCGCCGCCGGTGCCAGCGGCTCCACCGCCGCCGCCAGCCGCTGCCAGCAGTGCTGCTTCGTACCTGGCCCTGATGCCGTGCAGCTGCTTTCTGCAACACGAGCATATGAAGATCAGATACAGGGGGATACAGGACGATAGGGGGCGGAAATGTCCTCCGTTGCTTTTCCGTCACATATGGACTGTGGACCCAAGCGTTCGCATGGGCGGCGAACCAGGTGTGACCCAGGTGTGACCCAGATGGATGTGGGACCCAGATGGCCAAGGGGAGTTTTCCTGCCACCGTCGTGCTTGTCGAGTTGTGTCTATGACAACAATAATGATAGTTATGGGCTAAACCATCGAGGGCGGGTCCGCGCGATCTGGGTTGTTGAGAAAAATTCAAATTTCGATGTCATGTCACGATGCCGATAGCCTCCGGTAACAACTTCCACCACGAATGTTACATCCTCGCCATTTCCTTCTCGCGGCTCAGGTCATGAAAACACACACATACACACACACGGGCGCTCATTGGCGTTGCCATCAACCTGTCCTTGCCGTCTGCACGCGCACCCAAACGTGTCTTTGTTCTATTAGAAACATGTGTTACAGTGCGCGATGGCAACGACGTTATAGTAGCACACAAAGTCAAGGTACGCGCATGGCGTTGACGGAGGGGGAAAGTTAGGTACGGCAGAACGATGCCCAACGATACCAGCGGGTGGGCGTTTGTAGCGTTAACGAGCGCGAGACTCACTTGTATTTGGTCCCTGAAACATCCCAAGCGAGCGCGAAGGCGCCCAGCGTAGCAGCGCATGCCAGTCCCACGCCCACGATGCCAACGAGGAGCGCAACGACCCAGGCCATGCTACTGCTAACAATTTTAAGATATGAATATCTGGCGATCGCATGCGCCGTTGACACTGTGCGCTACGGAGCTTCCGAGCCCATAGATGAGGACGTCGAATAAAACCTGACGCGACACAGCGCTTGGGAAATTTAAAGTTGTTCCCTAAATCATGTAAGTAAGCCAAGCAAAAGCATGATATCGGCTAGTAGCCTTTAAGGCCAAAATGCGTGCAAGCAACGGTTGGCAGCGACAAGCCATGAAGGATGCATAACTTTCATGTGCAGGCGGTGATCTGGCTTAGATATCCTCTACCTCACACTTCCCTCTGACTTCAGGTAGGTGTACGCCGTATGTCGTTCACTGCATGTCAAATGTCTTGGCGGGCGTCAATTTCCATTTCGTCCAGCGTTGCCAAGCAACCCAATAAGATAATAACAAACAATTTCTAAAAGACAAGTATCCAATTTGGCTGTGCTTACTGCTGTGTGTTGCGCTTAGTCCCGCATAGAACTGTTTTCATCTCAACGACATAAATTAGAATGCAGTGGCTAAACTCTTTAGTTTCGGAGTATGAAGGGCGTCCGCTGCAGAAGACGGGGATGCTGACGAAGGTATTTTACCGAAGCCACGGAACTTGGAAAAGGTTGCCACAGCGTGTAATGGCTACCAAACCCCTTTGCAGGAACAATTACAGTCATTTTTTCAGGAATCTGCAAAGCAGTTCAATAATGCAGTGAGTTGGGGCAGTTGACAGCTACATCTGTGGGAGTCATCTTGTCCTCGCGCCGCAGACGACCGACATATCATATGATCTATAAAAGGACTTTCCCTTTTGCACGCTTCGACTTCTGTATCGCTTGGCTTCCCAACCTAGCGAAGCTGCCTTTGCTTGGGCTAGCGCAATTTGCGTCGGACCCCGACCCTTTTGCGCACCCCATCGGCAACCCGTTCATTCCATCCACTCCACATCCTAAGGCTCTGCAGACTGCCTTGACGAGGAGCCGGATCCAGCCCTGGTGCTATGGGGGACGTCCGCGGCCCCGCAGCCGCCTGGTCAAGACCCCAACCCCCCTCCTCCAAACCCCCCAACTATCCCCTCCACACTCCTACTTCTTGCCCTCCCCATCAGGAATTCAAGCAGCTTCTGAGCGTGGCTCACAGGACACGGGGTCCAGGGTCCTCAGAAGACATGGTCAATGGCATGCAGAAAGAGATCTTCCAAAGCATGGGGATTCAGGTGTGCGTGTGTGTGTGCGTGTGTCTCTCTGTTTGTCTGCATGTCTCTCTGAGTGTGTGTCTGTGTGTGTGTGTCTCTGTGTGTGCGTGTGTGTGTGCCTGTGTGTGTGCCTGTGTGTGTGAGCCTGTGTGTGTGTGTGTGTAAGTGGGAGGTGTAAGACGAACCACGGACACAGACAAGTGATGCAGACACAGGGGGGCGATAGCAGTGTGTGTGGCAGGTTGGTAGGGAAGCCGCAGCATGGGGTCGCGACTAGGTCTTGAGGGAGTTCCAAGACCAGTCGCGACCCCATGCTCGAGCGGGGGGATGTAGCACAGCGCAAGGGACGGCAAGGGCTCGGCCGGCACGTGCCGGCTGGGTTGGCTCCGGACCGAGCAGCGCCTGGTGTGTCTGTTGTCGCTGTAAAACCCTAAAAATCTAATCATCACCATCATCACCATCATCGCCATCCGGGGATATAAATGCCCTCAGGGAGACTTTGGCATCAACTGCCTCTCCAAGGTCAACCAAGTCTACGCAACTGACGCCTTTTTCATGCGCCATTTCTACGAACACGTCCAAAAGGTACGGCAGTACGACATGACACTGCAGCCATGGAAGAACGGCATCACCGCCAATATTCAGCAACAACATAACGTTCTATGGATTGCCAGAGGGGCATTCATACAGACGTCTGCTTCCGCTCGCAAGGCCGTATGGGTCATGTCGTTCAGTCTGTGCGTGCTGTACACGATGTGCCATGTGCCGTACACGTGGTGTCGTACATCACGGATCCACATGCATACTTCTGCTTGCTACGTAAGATATATACACGCAGATATCATGAAAAAAATGTTCCTCAGCCGCCGCCGTTGTCATTATTATAATGCATGTGCAACAAATTTTTGTATCATGAACGATACGGTGCTTTGCAGGAGGAGATGGTGTTGGACGAGGCGGAGATGCCTGAGGCAGCGTTTAAATCCAAGTACGATCAACTGAACCGGTTCCGTACAGAGATGGAGGCTCGCATGGCCAAACTGAAAGACATGACGCCCGAAGTACGTCTGTGCGAGTATGGGGGAGGGAAAAGGGAAGGGGAGGGAAAGGGGCGAGGGTGCTTTACGGGATGGTGGAGTAGGTTCTGCCGCCACCGGGCACTGTAGGACACACACACAGACAGACACACAGACAGACAGACGAACGCAAACATAACACACACACGCACAAAACAAATTGCGACTCAAATTATAACAAAAACACAAACATTTAAACAATTAAATGCACGCGTTCACGTGTCCGCTCGTCTATTGTACACATCCACTCGCGCCCGGCCCTCCCGCGCACCTTCTCCCGCCCTGCTATGGCACACACACACACATAGGAACAAAACGCGTACATGAGCCAGGTGTACCGGGAGATGATCGCCGCCAGCTCCGGACCTGGCGAGGAGTGCTGTTCCCATCCCCAGGGCTGCAGCCACCGTCCCCCAGGAGGCGGCGGCGGCCCCTCAGCCGCTGCTGTTGCTGCAGCTCCGCTGCCGCCTGGAGCGCAGAGCGCCCCCTCGTTGGCGCTGACGGCGCCCGTGGCGGGTCCGGCGGCGGCACCACCAGCATTAAGTGAGGACGAGCAGTTGGCGTTCTTCTCCAGCTTGCAGGGCGCTGGGGCTGGTGGGAGCAGGTAGTTTGGATGGTAAATGGCATGTGGAACGAGCGCAGTGGTCGATGTAAAGAAGAGGGAATGTGTGGTGGTTGCAACATGTGGGTTGCAGGGGGCCGTCACACGCTCTCGCGTGAGCTCTGTGTGTGTGTAGGTATGAATGTATAGGTGTATGAATGTGTATGTATGTATGAATGTATGTATGTATTCGTTAAATATCAATGGGGCCCTGCCTACGGGTTTCGTGACACCTACTGCCCGATGGTGTTGTGCGCCCGTTGTGTGTGTGTTTTACGTTGCCTTGTTTTGCGGGACGTTGGGACTTCCATCCTTTGCTTCAGCTTCATGATCGTCACCCATCAGGACGAGAGACATCATTTGCTCGCTGCACGTCGTGCGACCGGTTGGGTTATAGCTAACCGGTGACAAGCACCGGTCACACCGGTGACCTTGTCGGTTACCGACCCTTTTATGCCATAGGGGGTGCGGTGCGTGCGCACGCTGGTTCTGATGCTTGTGCTGCTTTGATTGCTGTGCAGCTTTCTCGATCTTTCCTTGGGCTTCCTTGGGATAGCTGTTTATGGCTCAGCTCCGCCACACTCCGCAACTACATGCCAACAAGCTCCAGCACTTCCCTTCTTGCCTTCTGCTCCGTCTCACGCACATCTCATACATGTCCTGTTCTCCAGTTCGACTGGCAATGGGGAACTGGGTTCGCGCACTACCAGGGGGCTGTAGATGCTCAGTCCGTTCTTGTTGAGATGGAGGCGGCGCGCAATGCACCGTCCATGGATTTGCATTGGCGCCTTAGCAGAAAGCATATACACCAGATTCATACATCACTCCAACGCCGCCAGCCGCCGCACCCGGCCCTAGCAGCTATCCATAATAATGCGCATATAGTCCAAACACGACATCGTTCCTCCACTTGCAGCCCAGTGCCGTACAGCCTCCCCTGCAGAATACTGCGGGGCGACTGGCTGCCCTTTTCGGCTTCGAAGAAGCTGACTATCCTTAGTTGTTTGCGTCTTTGGCAAAGGATTAAGTAAGAATACTGGTTTCGTAGGCTATGTGTAGTTTTAGGACTTCCTCCTGATGTGTGACACCGCTCCAAAGGTCTCTCCTTTTAAACTTTGACAAATACGCGAATTTGTGACTGTTGCCGCGGTTTGATTCTAGCGTCTGCAACTGCCTTTCCATTGTAGGACTGGCACGTGGTAGTAGTAGTAGTACTGGGGCTTTTTCTACCAGCGACCAGTCGGGCGCTGTGTGTGCCTTGTGATGTCTGCGACGTGGTGGGGATGAGCATAGCCCCGCCCGGCTACCCGCGTGGTCTTGTAGTGTCTTGAGGCGCAAGCGATTTTGCTTGATTTAGAGCTGCATGTGATTAGAGCGAAGAAAAGTATAGGAAGAAAAAAGTCAACACAACCTCCCGATTAAACTCCCATACAGCTTTTATGGGCGCGTAGGTACTTTGACTGGGGACGACCGTTGAAATGAGTACATACAGACGTTGAGCATGTATGTGCAAAGGTGTAAACACACAATACCCGCACGTATGCATGTGTATGTGATCATGACTCAGTTACCAAAAAACACACCTGTGCTCCTTCAGTGTGTGCGCCTATGCGTATGTATGTATAAATGTAGGGAGACCTGGCACGGGCTCTCCAGCCCCGCCATTCATCCATCATCCGCAATCGCGCCCCATCTTCCCAAGCCGCCAGGAGCCGCCGCACCTTAGCGACAGGACTGCTATCGCACACCTAGAGCAAACCCCTCCTGAGGCATCACCACCACCACGACTACCCGTTCCAACCGTGGCCGGCCCCTTCCTTCTTCCTCCAGTCCAATATCTATCACGAAACACAGACCAGAACATGTTAGGTTATAGCTGCAAGCACCACCGCTAGCATGGCCACAGCTCTGCTTCCTTGCACGGCGCTGCGCTGCGCCCATCACCCGCCTGCTCACTCTCACGCAGAACACGGATCTGCAATTGGGAACTGGCGCGGGTCGCCTTTCCTTCACTATCTTCTCCGCTCTTGCTCACTGGCGTCCGTCCGATCGGGTCCGTCCGTCCCGCCGCGGTTTTCCCCCTAAAACCCTAACCCCTCCTCCTTCTCCTCCTCCGCGCGCACTTAACACCTCTAATGCTTCGCTTCCTAGCGGCGGCAGCAGCAGCAGCAGCAGCTGCACACTTGGCACACAGGGGGCCCACTCGCCGCAAACACGAGAGCGCCCCAGCACACAGACAGAAGAAGGGAGGACGTCTTCATGCCCAGAACCGCGGCTTGCGCTTGGGCAGCAGGTCCACGATGTTGAGGTCGTTCACCTTGGAGGCGACGATGAAGTCGTTCTCAGTCAGACCACCTGCGGGGTGTCGTACCGGCATGTAAAGAAATAACATCATGATAACAACAATAATGATAATTATATTAATAATAATATGATGATAATACTATATAATGATAAATATAGGTTTGATGTATGCGGACGCGTTGGGTTGTGGGTGTCAATAGTGCGACCAACCCTAAGAACCATAAGAACCAGAACGGAGTGTGGAGAGCGCGACGCTGACAGAAGCGGTACCTTCTGTTGTGCTGTCGAAGCGAGGAGGTAAGGATGAGGTACACCAGGGACAGGAGGAACACGGAAAGGGGCCCACTTCATACCGTTTCCGCACAACACACTCCCATGCTTCACACAACACGCACAAATATGCACATAGATGGTCGCGTAATGTGACGCCGACACACACCCACACAGCCTGAGCACTCGCACGCCACCCACACGTCACCCACACCTAGCGATGCGGTGCACAGCATCGCCACCACCTCCGTCCCCACTCGGTTCATCGTTAAGCTGTCGCCGTGGCCCTCCGCCGCCGCCACTCCCGTCACGCGCTCCACCATCTGCTCCGCCGCTGCCTCATCCTTGAGCTTCCAGGACTGTTGAATACAGGGCTTGCCACCAGCACCCGGCAATGTGGCCATGCGCCAGCCAGGTACCTGGTTCCGGAGCAGCTCCCGGTCTTCCCCGCTGAGCACAGTCAGGCTGGCGAGGTTGTCTTTGCAGCTGCGGGAGGAGAGGCCGAGTACGCGCTTGATGTTGTCCGGGGGCCTGCGGGCGGTTGGGGGGTGATGGCGCCGGAAAATCTTATGTAAGAAGCAAAGGTTCTGATGCCGATGCAGGTTTGGGGGGGGAGCGGGAGGGAGACCCCAATCAAAGCAAGGGCAGGGAGCTAGTGCGTGGTAATCATATGCAACATGGACGGGTGAGAAGGCTTGGAACGGAAACCGCCGGGCGGATGAGAGCGCTGGACCCAAGGGGATACGGAAATTTAATACAACTAGGTGTTCGAATATTGGGAGGAGTGCGTACTGTAATGACTGCGTTGGATTGCGGCAGGCGCGGATGCGTAGGGCGGACCTTTGCTAGGGTTAGCGCTCAGAGGTTAGGCCCTCAGGCAGCAGCAAACTCACTTGATGATATGTTCGGTGTTGTAATTACCAAGAACGTTTTCTCCAAAGTTTGTGGCCAGCTCGCCAGCAAAGGGGTCACGTGCGCCGAAGTTCTGCAAGGGCGACTTAAGTTGAGGACATGGCCGAGCGAGGTCAACGGCCCGGTATGCCTTGCAATTGCACGGCATACCTCGCCAAATAGGCCCTTTTCCATCTTTGAGCCACGCACGTCGCCACCCGCTTGGCTGTTCATGACTGTCAGTCGGCATCGCCTGGGCGGCTTGGCTGTAAAGGGCCGTGCCTGTTGGCATGCCTGCGGTTTTGATGCAATAGACAAGATGTGTGGTTCTGAGTTGTATGAATCATAGCTAGTCTCTGCACCAACCTGCCGCTGAGTGTTTAATACGCGGTTCATCTTGCTCCTTGCCCAAGAATAGCGCACAAGCCTACTGTAAGAGGAATTGCTTTGACTGTCGAGGTCTAATTACTCGCTACTAGGCAGGGTTCTAGAAATGCAGAACCGGATAAGCAACGGTATTACCGTACATTTTTGATGTTCTCGTCCCTCCGAACCCAACTTCATGACAATAAAGATAATTACAATACTTCACGCTGTTCCGAGCCGTCTAAAACAATCAATATCAAGGTTGAGCCGTGTGTCTCTCGACATGACAACTACAACTTGAGAGGCTACGCCGTAACGCGCTTGCTTACGCATGGTAGAGCAACAGGATACTAATCTCTGTATAAGTTGATTAGACGATCAGCCAAACCTTAATACGCGAGGATGCTTATAATCCCAACCCCATAACATGGCTGCAGCTGCAGCCCTCACTCACCAAATCATACCGCAGCCCGTAACCAGGTTGAGTCTCGTGTAGTTGTGGCCTGACAACTCAAGCAGCGTTCGGACGTGGGTACAACTCAACCCAAAACTATCATGGCCTTACACAAAACGATATCATCCTGCGCGATTGCGACACGGTCGCAACCATTGGCCAGTCTTCAAGTCTACATGGGCCACAAGGTTCAAATAATTAACGGAATGAACTTCTTCGTCCTGGAAGCATAGTCCCTGTAGTAACCCCCGAACGCGCCCTCCAAAATACGTGCTTCCAGAGATGTACGTACCCGGTAGTACAATACACACACGCTTAGCATCAGCAAGGCCGTCGGCGCAGAATGCAACCACATGCCGTACGAAAAAAACAGTAGCATGTAAGATGTGTAAATCGGATGCTGCATGTACCTGTACGGCCCGCTCGTGACGAGCACAGCCGGCGCAGCTACTCTGTCGTACGATGCTCCCAACTCACGCGCTGCAAGGGTATTCAGCACTGTGGCCAGCGCCATACCGACGCCGCCAATTATGTCGTACAAGGTCAAATTGTACGACATCGCATTGGTGTATAACGCAAGGCCCACAAAGCGATACATGGCAAACAAATGCAGCAACGGCACCACAACCACAAAAGCAGCAAACGCCAGCCGCCCTGTCCACGTGGCGACCTGCTGGTCCTGCTTACGTGGCGCCAGATTGCCGTACCGTACGACACGTGCGAGTGTGCCAAAGCCGAAAAAGCACAGGTAAGCGCCAAAGGTCGTGAAGGGCTTTGCCAGCGACAATCCGCCGTCGTGCAGCGCCGCCGGCAGCAGCAACAGCAGCGTCAACACCAGCACTAGCTGCACGGCCTGCGGCAGGTGCAAATGCGGCAGGTGGTTCGGCAGGTGGCCACAAACGCGAACTAGGGTTACGGACCAAAAAGGCCAAAAACTTGGAGGGAACTGATTAAGGCAAGTCAAGGCAAGGCAAGGCAAGGTAAATGCCTAAAACGCCATAACCGTATACGATTACGCGCCCAGATGTCCACCGTAACCTCACTGTCATAGTACGCACAATCGTATGCGCCAAAGCGAAAACGTTAATTAATCAGTAAAATGTGGCCTCAGAAGGGAGCTTCAAATTGGGGGAGTTCAGACTCAGAGGGGTTTCGGAGCCCAACGCGCTGGTAGGAGTGGGCAGTAGTAACTTCGTCCTACGTGCTGCAAGCCACGCCTGCCGGAGAAATATCCTCCCGCCCCGAGGAGGAAGAAGAGAGAAGCAAAGCTCCATTGCAAGGGATGGGGGCCGGAGCGCGGGATGACATGCGGGATGGGGGAAGATGGGATGCGGGATGTGAAGAGAGACCATCGTTTGGTGGCCGCTGTACCTGTAGGACTCCTTTCAGGAAGCGTACAGCGGGATTGTCGACGGCAGCTGCCGACCCGTCCGCCGGAGCCACTCGCTCCAGGGTGGTGATGAACGTCGGGTCCTTGGCCTTGCGCTGCGCCTCCGCCTTGCGCCGTTCCTCGAACTTTTCGACCCACCACAGTGGCTGCTCCCCTTGCGGTGGCTTCCAGACGTCAGCGAAATGGTCATCTTCTGATGCAGGTGATGGTGATGATGCAGAAACTGCTAGCCTCGTGGATGATGATGTTGTTGGCGAGTCGGTTTTGTCCGGAACGGCAGCGGGGCTTGCAGCCTGGGCTGCCAGTCGCGAGGCGTCCACTGGGTCGGCTGGTATCTGGGATAGATGGTGGTCAACGCTGCTCTGTGGCTGTCCACTACTAGCATGTAGCTCCAGGCTTTTTGTTGGTCTGATGGATCCGGACCCGATTTGAGCTTGGACTCGATGCCGAGTCAATCCGGCTGCAAGCGCACGCCGCACACGCACATGTGCTGAGCTAGAACCGCTGCCTAGGTATGAAATTTCCATCTGAGTATGCTGCAAGCATGGGGATAGCATTAAATTTGGACACTTCGGGCCTTCAAGTTGAAGTTACACTTATTGTACTCAAGATGCGTACCCTGGACAAGCTTCAAGCAATGATGTGTTTATTATATTGAGATTCAGTATTTACATTTCGGGTGGTCGCCTTGATGACTTTTGAGAGGTTGCCGGCTTGTCACGATGTCGGATGTCGGTTGCCAGTACGGGCATAAACAAATTCAGGATCTTTCATCAACCTACCCTCTACGAATCATCATTGCGATAACGGGCTCTAGGAACATAAGTACCCAATTGCCTTACTGTAAACTGTGCGGGTATTCAGGGCTCACGTTAACCATCATCGCAACCCCATGGCAGACGATTTGCGCAAGGGCTGCCGTGTGAGGCTATCTGGCCTCAGCATTTCTATCCTGAATGACTCTGAGGGCTGCATCGTCGGCCCGTTCGATTCGGCTACTGGTCGCCACCCAGTCAAGCTGCTGAAGCCAACGGAGGCGGTGACCGCCTACCCGAACGGAGTCAAGGTCAAGCCCGCGAACCTGGAACGCGTCCAGACACATAAACAGCCCGTCACTGAAATCTCAAAGCCAAAGGCGAAGTCAAAGCGCGCCGCACAGAGCTTTGCAGGAGCTGCAAAGGGTGAGCTCCACGGAACTCCGGAACCTTGCACCGAAATCAGTCGCGACTTTTACCAAGCCAAGTCAAGGCCTGCGCATGTTTATTGTACCGTCCCATAGGCTGATGGATGTAGATACTCTGGCAGCGGAAACCCGCTTTTCGGCTGCCGCCAGCGGGTCCTCTTTTCTCCCCCAAATTTCCCTCTCCCACACATAGCCAAGCATATTCCACACCCATTTCCGCATGTGGCCTACCTCGGCCTCCTCCAGACTTCATGGATCCGAGTTCCTGGGCGCTTGGCATGTCCCCCAGCAAGCAGGCAGAGTGGCTGGTAGATTGCTACAGGTAAGGAAGGGTGAACAGAAGACGCGGCCGGTGCACGTCCGAGCTTACAGCAGGACCTTTTATAACTCTGATATGGATCTGGGACTTACTGGACTTTATTGTGTCGATGATTAAGAGCCCTTAACTAACTGTCGTAAGGCTGTCAACTGTACCTTCTTTGCTGGTTCCTGATTACGCGATGCATGGCGTTGACAACTCCTCGAACGCCACGCTTGTGTACCACATGGACATTATGCCGGACAACATCGTGCCTGGCATTGCCTTCTACGACCGGCACTCAAGGATGCGTGTCGATGACGACTATGCATGGGGTGGCTGCAACCTACACGGCCTCTACGATCCAGAACACACAGGCGACACCATCGTCTCCGATTTCCTGCTCTTCTGCAAGCTGGCTGTACGCCATGGCGTCGTGCCGCATCGCAACTGGGACTGGAACAAGTTCCTGAATAAAGCCGCTGAGTTACTTGGTTATGCGTTCGAAAAGTCAGATGCAAAGGAGAAGTATGGCAACGAGAACGTGTTTTCGGTCATTACCGGTGGCCGATCGCTCCGTGCGACGGCGGAGGTCGTGTACGGCACGTCGTGCATGGCAGGCTCAGACCAGGAGGAGGACGCGGAGGTGCTGCAGCTTCGGGAGGTTATTGAGGATGGGCTTTTGGAGGAAATGATGGAAACCCAGCCTGAGCTGTTTGAGGATGTGGGAGGCGTGGCAGCGTGGGCGCGGCTGCAGTCTAGGATGGTAGCGGTGCAGTAGGGCCAAGGTGGTGGCGTAGGTGCGGTTTAGGGTGCGTACATAGCTAAAGTCTTGTGCGGAGGAAGTCTGCCGGAGTCGTGATAGAAACGATGGAACGATCTTTTTTATTCTGAGGATAAACTAATTCCTTTTATTTTGAGGATAAACTTTTCTCGGAATCTCTCCTGCAGGGGTTAACGGTGATTGAGTAGTTTGCATTGCACACTCGAAACCCGGTCAGGTATCACCGGTCTACATGCATGCCCTGCATCCTTATCGCAGGCAGGGGGCATCTGATTTCTGAGTGCTGGGTGAGTGGTGGCGGATGGGGGGTTAGCAGAGGGCAGCTAGGTGCGCAGAGGAACAGGGGTGTGTGGTTTGAGAGCGTTGGACTTGGCTTGGAATGCTGGAAAGAGGCTTTCTTGCGGCACTGCGGTACCCATTTAAGCATCTGGAGGCGGGGGAGGAGGGAAGGCAGATTTATTTCCTCCAGCCTTGGTTAGTTGGTTCGTGGTTGGTTAGGCCTGGGACCGCCGGGAACTTGTGTGCAACAAATCGGGGCAGCCTTAGGAGGTTTGGAATCCCCAGACTGGACCAATTCCTGCTCCTTGGCGTTGCAAGGTTTGGCGCAGGGCAAACTACCGGTGGACTGTACTAGCGAAGCAGATGTGAGGCAAATTTTGAGGAGCTACTTGGACATGTTCAGGCTTTGGATGCGACGGAGTTAAGCTTTTTTAAGAAGGTTAACCTATCTTGGCCATGCAGCATGGTTAGTTTGTGTTTCAGTTGGCAAAGGCTCTTACAGGTTATGCAAGAGCTCAGCAAAGCATGTCAAAGTCACGGAAAGCCCGCGTCGAAACGGTTGGCCCAGCCGTCATCCAGAAGTTCCGGGCTCATACCGACATACATCGAACTTTGCAAGACTGCAACTCCGCATTGTATTTTTCGGTCCCCTATCAAATGAGTTCGCCCTCGTCAGGTTCTTGCTGCGAGATAACCAAGCCCGAGAGGAAGACCACCTGCAGAAGGGCCACGGCTCCGATTCTCACAATGCACATGCCCCATGTATGGAATATACGGCTCAGTTATAAGGTTATCAGATTTGCGTAGTAAAGTGCGGTGGTGGTTGCGAGCCGATGGAGTACATGACAGTTGTACAAAATTTTAAACTGTTTCTGACATCCCATCTTGCTAAGCCGTGCCACAATTTGGAGAGCTTACGGCGAGCTGATATGTATTACATGATTTGGACATAAGCTAAAACAATATACTTTGTTGCTCGATAGGTGCATGACGGGACCTGCCTGCAGCACAGGTTCGCCAGTGAAGTTAAGATGGGCGCCTAGGTTTATGTGCAATATATGTTGAGGTCAAGACAGTGGACCTGGAAAGGGGAAGCATGCCGTCGCGTGTTTCTGCCTTCAGCCGGTGAGCCGAGATGCAGAAGCCAAGGCATTGCACGTTATATACATGTCAGGCTCGTTTTTGAAGTCCACCGGTCCATCCAGGTGGCATAATGGAGCTTCCCGAACGCGGAAAACCTCCTTTGGTAAGTTCTAGCTTGTGACCCGTCTGTTTTGTGGACGTCCAGCATGAAGAAGCTGTTCTGTGAAAGGTTCTCCTTTAAGTTTGCTCTATTGACCTCGGGGAGAGGGCTGGTCTTCATCCGTGGACCGGCCCGCTCAGCAATGGACTCCCCCAATGAGGACTCGGCCTTTGCTTGTGAACTTATAGGATGTTAGCGTAGTGCTTTTGCGGGTGAGCAGACTGTTAAAATGCTTCCAGTCAGCGTGTTTCCGTCTGCAAATTTTTTTGCGAAAAGTCTTCCACAGCGTGGCAACTTTTGGAAAAATCTATCGACCAAACAGTCATGTGTTGCATGCTCAGAAACAGTTACATTCTAACCTGTTGACCGTGCGTCGTCGCAGACTATGTTGCGTTGGTGGACCAATTCCAGCAAGAAGAGCTAAGCCAAGAAGAATTGTATGAAAGCTCTGTCCGGCCCTTTATAAACCGGTGCTTACAAGGGTGAGCGTCGCTACTGGCCCGCGTTCATGTGTCTTGTCGGGGTGAATCCGAACTTTGCCCGCTACTGGGTTGTCTATGGCTTGGGACGAGGACATCATGCCTTACTTCTCATGGGGGAAGGGAATGACCACACAGGGCGGCCAAATAGCAGTAACCTATGGCGAAAACAGCACCAGTTCACCTCAGCTCTTCCCCCGCTGTGGTCTCCACGTCCTGCAGATGCTCCGGCAGTATAATTACATACGGAGCTAGGGGCAGTGGGAAATCCTATACGCTTGGCACCTTGGACCCACAACAGCTCTCCTTGGCCGCCAGGGGCAACGGAACCCCGGGCGTGCTTTCCAGGTGTGTGCGTCGCTCCAGGCACAGGCGCGATGCCTGGGGCCAAGGTGTGGCATATGCAAAACCTGGCAACGCGGCTGTGTTGCAGTAGCGGTAATGGCACACCTGCGCTCGTGGACTGCATGCCCTTCATTGGGGCGTGCGGCATTCGGTGGAATCAGATCGCATAGTATGCGGGACTGAGTAATATGGAGTCAGGACACCATCCCGATTCTGGACTAAGGGTTTGACCGCGTTTTAATAGCTTCTTGACATCTCCTTTGTGTGATGATGACCATACAAATGGATCCACTTCTCACCGCCCTTCCACGCTTAGATGTTTTCCTCCATATCCGAGATTTTTGTATCTCCATACGCAAGAGGCAAGAGACAAGGCGACATAGAACACAATTGACAAATTTGTGGCGGCTTTGCACCCAGGCGGCAGACATCATCTAGCAATCGTTCGCCTACTCTGCACACGTCCTTTTGGTTGATACCACAGCCCTTGCTCCAGGCACCTTATGCCGTCCCCCTAGCACATCCTTGAGCAGAGGAGGGCAAATTGATACGATCCAACGTTTCCCCAACGGCAGTCAATCTCCGAGTTCCTTCCATATGATTTTCCCCAACGGCTGCACTTCCCAACACCCCAGGGCCCCGAATCCCAACCTTTCAATTTTCCAGGTGCACGCAGCAACTATACGAGTGGCTCGGCGAGGATGCCGCCGTGGAAGTTACATGCGTGGAGGTACAGGGCGACGACATTGTCGACCTATTGGAACAGAGGCCAGGTGCGTCGGCATTCAACAAGGCAGCCGCCACCACCATTGACGGCCTCAACGGCGGGCCTAGCAGCACCAGCGTTGCACCAGGTTGCGCCAGTCCGGTCTCCGCGCTCTCAAGTCCACAGGCAGGGTTCTCTCGCAGCCCCATTGCTTTTGCAGCGGCATCGGCATCGTCCCGGCGAAAGCCACTTACCGCTACGGTGGTGCGAAACCTCGCAGAGGCCCTGCTGACGCTCCAGGTATGTCGAGGTCTCAGGGTGATGGCAGGGAGTTGGGAGAGATAGACGTAGATCGGGGGTAATTACCGAGGACAAAAGGAAACACGCGGTGCGGCCTCATCACGGGGCCCTTAAAGTGAGGAGAAGGGGAGAACTACCGTACTTGATCACGCGGATTGAGTTGGGGTGAAGTAGGACGATGGCTGCTTAATGGGGCGCAGTTGCACCTGCGCATTAGCAGGGATGACTTGCCTAAGCTTGGGTGCTACATTCCCTTGTATTTCCCTGTGGGAAAGCGCCTGCGCTAGGCTGCTGTACCTGAAACGAGTTTCATACATGTAATTTCATGATATGCGCTATTGGAACCACCTATTGGACCCCTGTCTTTAGTCACTGTTGCCTCAATAACCCGTCTGTACTGCTTTTGCGCAGCGAGCCGTGTCGAACCGGCAAGTCTTTTCCACGGCCACCCGTCACAACAGCAGCCGCACGCATGCCGTCTTCCAGCTGCGTTGGCGTAACCCCGCGGCGCCGGCGGCTACCGGCGGCTGCGGCTGCGTGGCGTCAGCTGTAACGGGCGCTGCTGGCTACGGGTCCTGTGGTGGGGCTGCCCTGCGGCCCTTTAGTGCGCCGCCACGGTCGGCGCTGACTGGTGCCCCCCTGGGCTCCCCGCCGCCGGGAACCCGGGTGCCTGACGGCGGCGGTAGCGGTGGACCTGTCTGCACACTGACGTTGGTGGATACGTGCAGCTTCTGTCCGTTGCTGCCTCCGAAGGTGGGCTCCTCTCCCTTGGTTCCCTTCCTTCCGCATCACCCTGTATTATCACCCTCTACTATCTTTATGGACTCTTATGGATTCCACGCATTCATGGCAGACCAGGTGTCGGGTTAAAAGCAATGGACTGCCGGTCATCGCGGCGTCTGATGTGCCTGTTGCGATTGGTTATGCCGCTTATAATATGCGCTGTCTTCTCCCACAGGAGGCCTCCGCCGTGAAGCGGAGCCTCCTGGCGCTCGGTCGCGTGCTCAGCGCCCTACAAAGGCGCCATTCGATGACGTTGCGAGAGAGCAAGTTGACGCGCATGCTGGAGGGTGCGGTGGACCAGGTGAGGCGCGGGGTGATGCCGAAGATGTGGATGTGGCGTGGGGAAATGTGTAACACAACTTTCATGACTGAGCCTACTTAAGGTTCCATCGTCCAGCACAAAGACACTCTCCTCTCTCCTTCAAAAGAAGGTAAAAGTAATGGGATACTCTGTACGTGTACTCTGTACCCTGGAGCGTAGTCGCTTGCTGTCCTGGGCGTCTGCGGCGCCAAACTGAACTGGGAAAATGACGTGATCGGGCCTCGTGTGGTGAGGGGTGCTTGCGCTGGTATTGGGTGTTATAAAATTATAGGCCTGCTCAGGGCGTAGCCTGCACGCATTCGAGGAATAAGAAGTCGTGCGAACTGTTGTTTGCAGATCCTCCTGTTGGCTTGTATGTGCGGCGTGGGTGACGAGTCCACGGTGCAGCTGGTCAAGACGCTGCAACAAGGTGCGTGGCCGCGTGCTGCAGGTCAAGTTTTACAAACCTTTATATGGCTCGATATTAAGTAGAGCAACATGTATCGCTCCTTTTTACGTTGGAACGTATTCGTGCGCGTGTGTAATATTAAGGCTATGTTTTGCTCCCCTGGTTTGCCTTGCAAATCCAGCGAAGGGCTGTCCTATTGCCCTGCAAGCCTATCTCTTTTGTAAAGACCTGCGGAGTGCAGCAGACGTGATGGAGCACAACCCCCGTGGGTCGGTTTGGTCCACAGGTTCGCATATGCGCGACAATGCCTTGCGGCGCTCGCGACGCGCAAGCTCTTCAGACTCGAGACAAGCGTCAGGCGCTTGGGAATCCGCTGCCAGTCTATGTGCTGTGAGTGCAGTAAGCCTGGCTGGTGTGGCCGGTCTGGCGCAACACGGCGTCGTTACCGGCAGCACCGCTGACGCAATCGGAACGCCGCCAAGGGTTTTGGTTGGCAAGGCCGCGGGCCTCGGGCCCAGCCGTGCCTTGTTCCGCTCACCAAAGTCGCCGCATGGGCAAGGGTACGGCATCCAGCGGGCGGCTGCGGAGCTGACGGAGCTTCCACTGGCACTTAGCACCGTCCCTAGCGGCGACGGGAAAAGTAGCAGCGGCGGCGGCGGTACGGACACGGATGCGGTAGCGATGCCGCCGATGTCGGAGAGCTCTCCTGGCGAGTCGTCGTCGTCGCCCGCTGCATCAAGCCGAAGCGGTGGCGGGGATGGCGACGGCGCCTCCGTTGCCACCTCGGCGGCGGTGCTGCCGCTGGCTGCGGCAGCGAAGGCCGGCAGGCCCGAGCCTCTAACGATCGACGTCATGAGTACAGACACGCTGACGCTGTGTTCCCCAGGCGCCACCGGTGTCGCAGCTCCCGAGAGACGTACACCGCTGTCCTCGGGGTGCCGTCGCGCCGGCAGCGCGATTCCCAGTCCACCGGGGATGTCGCCTGTAGGTCCGTCGGCGTCGCGGCTGAGCGGGACTCTCAGCTCGCGCGAGAGGCCGGCGTCAGTGACGGCGCGCGCAGCACCAGGACCCGAAGTACGGCGGTCCCAGGTGCGTTGCGGAGATGCGGGTCCCGTGGGCCTGGACCTGGACCTGCGTGTTAGCGGGTTGGCCTAAACTGAGCTGCTATTCCCTATCAACGAATATTATATTAATATTTCACTCTTGGGTATCGATGTTTTTTTCGTTTCTAAAGTATAGCAGTGCGGAGGAACGCATGGTTCCGGGACATGCCAAAGGACAGCGATGCCCCGCCTTGACACCTCCCATATCCGTTGCTGCTGCATGATGTGCCCCTTCAGGGATTTTCGGTCCTGCAGGGGAAATGGTCACCTCCACCGCCTCCCGTGTCTCATGCCAACGACAAGACCTTCCCCATCGTTCCCTGCTGCATCGCTTCTGGTGCCTCTGCCACCGGCCAGTCTCTGTCCCTGATGCGAACCAATGCCGCGATCAGCACCGACTCGGGCGTGCCGCTGGCGGCTCCAGGGAAGCCAGCAGCCGCCCGCGGCGGTATCGGAACCAGCGGAACCCGCGGTCGCACGTCGCCTGGCCGGGGCTCCTTGGCCAAGTCCGGTGCCTCGTCGGGACGGGGATCATCCGGTTCGGCTTCAGCTTTGACGGCTCTCAGCCTGACAGCCGCGGCAAAGGTGAAGCGCGTTTCCCACGACTCTGCTGCCAGCTCTCGTAGCTGCGGCGGCCGCGGCGGCGGCGGCGGCGGTTCCTTAGGGCCTGCGCCCACGGACCTCGAGGTTTCTCTAGGCAGGCTAGGCCATGCCCCCTCAGCCGTTAGCTCCGGCGCTGGCTTTGCCGCGACGGCAGCTAACAGGCCGGCGACAGCTGGCCTCTGCAGCAGTCCTGCTGCTGGGGCCTCGACACCTGGATCCGCGAGGAGAAGACCTAATATTCCCGTACGTCCTCCGGTGCGATCTCCGCAGCCATCCCCTCCCTCACCCTTCGCGGGCAATGCGCATGGCACGGCGCCGCCGCGCACCTCACAGCGGCCCTCGGTACGTGCCTCTCCGTCCGTGAACAGCGCAACCCTGATTTCGCTGGCGGAGGTGCCGCCAACGCGGCTTACCAGCACGCGGTACGACAATACGAATGCCTCGCACGACAGCACCCACGAGGGCATGGCTACGGCTGCTGCCTCTGCAGCCTCGGCTCTGCTGACGGAGCCGCTGGCCGACGGGCCGTCGGCTTCCCAGATACGACTATCGCTTACGCTGCGCAATCAGACCGAGGGCGCTGCCCTGGGTGGTGGTGCTGGCTTGGCGGCCGGGGCCAGGGCCAGGAGTGCTAGTGGTGTTTCGTCAGCGCTATCGGTGAAGCGCTCTATCAGCAGCGGCACGCGGTGGCCATCACCGCTGCTTCGAGCTCGCAGGACGGAATGGCTTGAGGACACCCGGCGTTCACGAAGCGCACTCCCCAGGTATAAGGGGGCGCCGGGGACAGATTGCCATGTGGGATGTAACGAGTGGGATCCGTGGGTTTGGATTGCGTCCAATTTTAGCTGCGTGCAGGTCCTCTTTTAAGCTGCTACGGTTGCTGTGTGGCGGGGTTGACGCGATGCGTATATGGCACATAAATCTTGACCTGGAAAGCCTTGGTGTGCCTATCCATGGTGTGTGCTACCCGCTACTGGAATGAAAACGCGCGTTTCAAAAAAAACTGCAAATCGTGACTTGGTGCGGAAGCTGCTTTCTACACGCGCGCTTGCTCGCTGACTTGGGTCCTGTGTTGCGCGGTAGAGGAGAGGATAGCGAAAAAGGAGAGAGGAAAGGAAAAAAACCCCACGCGGCATGCTGTGATGTGAGACGCGTGTGTCGAGCATGTTTGCATCTTCTGGATAACTGAGCTGCAGCGGGAAGAGAACGTAATGGGAAGGCATCCATGCACGTGTGCATGTGTGTGTGTGTGCGCTCTTGGGTTCTTGTTCAGGCCCGTCACGGAAATCCCGGAGCCGCAACCAGACAGCGCCCTCGGACCCCGCAAGCCACCAGATGGCTTCCGCTGCGCACCGATGAGCCGACCCACGCTTTCTGCCCAGTATAAGGACTTGCTGCTCGACTTTGAGGTGCGGCGGGGTGCGGTATCTCAGTAGGAGGTGGGGAAAACCGGGGTGGTAAGAGGAGGGGTAAGGAGAGGTGGTGGCAGTGCGATGCGGGTAGTTGTTCTATGAAAGGCGGGAGCCGGAAGTGCGGGTGGAGAGACGCGATCCATGGTCTGTTTCTTTCGATACAAATACAGTTTGCCTGGGTTTCCAGAGCTCCACACAACACCTCCACGTAACTCCCGGATCAAGGCGACACTAACGTCCCGAGTGCTCTTGCCTGTATTCCCATTTCAGGCTTTTAAGGCACGAGCACGTATGCCGCGCCAGCGGCGCAGCACCTTGGGCGCCGCAACACCGCGCTTCACGCCCCTCCCCTCGGCCCGTACGGTACCTGCCAGTAGCCCTGGCGGCAACCCCAGTCCTGACCGTCATCGCCAAGTTGAATCCACCATCTCTCCAGCTGCGTCAAGCGTAATGACCCACGGGTCAGGTTCGACCAAGCAAGGATCGACGGTGCTGCTGTTACGATTGCGCACAGCTATCGGCGCTTGTAGTACGGCGGTGCCGGCGGGTTCTCCCGCCGGCTCAACGGGGCTGCCCCCTGGCTCGCAGGCCTCCACACCTCAGGACTCCGCAAGGCCCGTATCCGGTAGCTGTGCCAGGCCGCCGCCGGTGTTTAGCCGCGCTCATTCACCCACGGCAGATGAGGGATTACTGAGCTTGACAGCGGCTGCAGCCGCTGCTGCCACGGCGGGGGGCAGCCCAAGGACGGCGGTCAGTGTAGGCACGCCGCCATCAGGCCGGCCTCGACCCGGCGTGAGCCGCGGTTCAGGCGCCGCGATGTCGCCTCGCCTGCTGCGCTCCCCGGAGCGCCCCGCAACGCCCGTCTCGCCGACTACCGTGCTCGATATGAGCCGCTTGTTTGCGGCCAAGAGTAGCCCGACAGCGGCAGCGGGGACACAGCCGCCATCATCACAGCAGCCCGGCAGCGGCCGCGGGCCCCGCCTCAGCGCCGGTTCCGCCAGGCAGCTCGCAAGTGGCGGCAGCGACCGTTACAAGCGCATGGTGGAGGATGATGTAGATTCTGTTCGAACCTCGGAGGCCGAGGGAGATTCGGAGGGGGAACGGGCGCACAGTGATGCCGTGTCGTATCCCAGCGGAGACTCGGACTCGGACCGCGACAACTTGCTCGGCCCTGGCGGCCTTGAAAACCTGGGCCTTATGTTGGAAGCAGGCGGCAGCGTCGCTGCGTTGCACGATTCGATTAGTCGACAAGGGGAAAGCTCTGTGACATCGCCCGCCGGCAGCATGGCAACGCCGGCGTCGCAGCGGCGTACCAGCGCGCGCTCTGCCGCCACTGCCACGCCTACCTCAGTCAGGATCTGCGCTTTACAGGCTGCAGGTGCCCGGCGCGGTTACGACCGGAGACCGGATGAGGAGCTTCCCGCTGTCTCGTTCTTTATCCCCCGGTTCACGCCACGCGGTGACAGCTCAAACGCGTCTCCTGCCGGGGTTCTGCGCTCGGTGGCAACAGCGCCGGTGGCTACGGCGCTCGCGGCGGCGGGGACCTCTATCGCTGGGGTCAGCGCAACTGGTGCAGCAGCACAAGTTACAAGTACCTCTGCTGCTGGCTCTAGACCGAGGGCGCAAACCGGTGGAACAGAGCTGCTCACGGTACCCGTGGAGGCCGCCCAGGAGGCCGCCTGTTCGGGCGGTCGGCAACTGAACGCTGGTTCTGGAGCACGTCGTACTCTAGCGCCAGCGTTGCTGTGCGCGGACAATCAGTCTCAACCTGAAGCCCAGCCTGAGTACGAGGAGGCCGCCGCCGAGCTGCAGCCGCGGCGTGAGCGCGTCTCCGGGGCCGTTGCGGCTGGGAGTGCTCCAGGTGCGGTGGCGGCGGCAGCCGCCGCCGCGGTGGCGCAGCTCGCGCAGCTTCAGCTGTTGTACATTGCGAGGGATCGGGTTAGCGGAAGCAGCGACGTGTTGCAGGGCAGCTGTACGACATTGCCGGCGGACCTTGACGGCGCTACTGCGTGCAAATACAGTGATGGTGGGCAGGCGCTCCCGCCACCATCGCAGCCTGAGGAGGAGGAGGAGGAGGAGAATGAGGAGGAAGTGGAAGAGGCTGCGTTGCAAGGAAAACCGCTGGAAGGGCGGTCCGGGAGTGCTCGTGCCTCGCCCTACAGGAAGAGACAGGCAAAGCCGGTATTGTCGACGGCCGTTATGGGCAAGGCTGCCCTAGGCCCGCCATCCCACAGCTCAATTTCCTTGCGCCAGCTGCTCCAGCAGCAGTTAATGCAGCAACGCCCGGGGCGGCGCACGGCGGGACGTGTGGCGGCGGCGATAGCGGCAGCCGCAGGACCTAGGAAGGGAAGTCCGAAGCCGAACTCTCCGGCCCAGGGCTACACTGCGCCGACGCCGCAGGCTGCCGCTGGGCTTCTGGCGCAGCGCGCGGTCGTACGTCCCAACCACATGGATTTGGACGAGCATTCGACGGTACTCCTAGTGGATGGGGACTGCGCGTCAGAGTCGGACGCAACGGTGTTGGCGTTGGCAGCGGCGAGAGCGGCGGCGGCGGCGGTCCCACGGCGTGCATCTGCATGGGGGAATCAGGTTACCCAGGCCGGTGATGCTGGCAGCGCAGGCACTGCCGGAGGGGTCAGCGCTGCTGGCGGCGATGATGATGTATCAAAGACACACCTTGTCGTTAGCGGCTGTCCCCCGTTGAGTGCCCCCAGTGTTCCCCTGCCGGAGTCGCCCTTTGCAATCCGCATCACGAAGCGCTCCCCACGACAGCCGCCGCAGCTTCCAACGCCCTCGAGCCTCAGCCAAACCTCGGTTCGGGAACGCGTTGCCGCGCTCGAGGGGGTGCAAAGTCCGGGGACAGCAGCCAATGTGCCGCCTCACCACACGCCTTCTCAGACGATGAAATCCTGGGCACAGGAGGTTAGCGGAGACGGCGGCAGCCATAGCTCCTCATGCGCACTGGTGTCGGCAGCGGTGCCCGGCGGACGCCTCGGTGTAGCCCAAACGCGGTCCGCTCCCTCGCCCTCAGCGACTACTCTGACCAACGCTGTAGCTGATGCGCTTCAGCGACAGGCCGTCATCGCGGCCGCCTCCAGAACGGCAGCTGTGGTGATTCCGCAGCCTTCAGTCCGCAGCGGTTCCGGCTCCGGTAGCGGCACTGGTAGCGGTAGCCGTAGCGGCGCGGACCATCAACCGTATCCCAGTCTGTACTCGCCAACGGGTACGCTCGACAGCGGCGGCGGCAGGTATGGGAGCTCGCCAACACTTCCGGGCGGAGCTGGGGCCCGCTGCCCGGCGATGGCAGTGGCTGCAGGATTAGCTTCCAGGCCGTCGGCGGCGACGCCGGCGGTACAGGTCGCTAGGAGCATTGACGGCGATCCCGGCACTCATCGATCGACGCCACGGCAACATGCCTTACAACTGCTGCCACAGCAGCAGCATCAACAGCAACGACCGCAGCACCACAACCAGTCAAAGCACCAATCGCAGCAGCAGCAGCAATCGCAGTTTATGGCAACACTCCGTGCTTCCGGCAACGTCGCAGCAGCTTGGAGGGCAGCGGCGGCCAAGTCAACGTCTTCGTACTCCAGCGTTCGGAGTTGCTTCCGCAGTAACTCTGGGCAGCACCAGCACAGCATGTTGGGCTCTGACGCGACTGCTGTTGCGACGGTAGTGGCTGTGAGTCGGGCGGCGCCGTTGGGTGTTGGGGAGGAGAAGCACGCACTCGGCAGGACTAGCGGCCACGTGGCTGCTGCCGCCGCAACAGCAGCAGCAGTGAAATGGAGTGGTGGGCTGGAGCATTTGCCGGGCAACGGCGCCTTCACCACAGTCCTAGGAGGAGGAGTCATGCCGGTCACGGGGGGCACCACCCCAATGGCCGGTAGCAGCCCTGCCTCCCCACCGCGACTACCGCCCCACCCTCGTGGGCACCAATCTGGGACAACGTTTGCCAATCGGCTTCCATCCTCGGAGACCTACGTGTCGAAGACCTTGCCACCGTCCAATGCCAACGAAGCCGCCGCTGTTACTCCCGCCGCCGCTGCTATTGCGAATCCGGCTACTCCTGCCGTTGTTACTGCCAGCGCGGCTGCAGGGCTAACGACGCCGGGCATCCTTGCCAAGGCTAAGTCCGCCCGCGGCGAACGCATGACGCCTCTGACGGCGCGGTTGTGGGCCTTTAAGTCGTACCGTACACCTAGGCCCGCGGTGGCCACTCCCGTCGCCAGGCTGGGTGAAGAGGAGGCGGAGCCTCTGCCACCGCCACCGGCATATCCACCGGGCTTTGTCGGCTGGGCAACCAAGATGTTCTCCAAGAGCAAGAAAAATAAGCTTGCGTCCTTGAAGTAGATGGCAGTGTTACATCTCCATGCGGCCGAGGCCGGTGAGTAGAACGCGTCTGTTTTTAAAGGTCTGGAGGTATTGAGTTTGCTGTAACCAGAGCGGGCGCCTGGGCACCCTTCGGCCATTCGGCCTAGCTGCCATTGACGAGCTGGGTGGCCGGTTTGGTGCGTCTGGAGGGTCTTGAGAGCGGGCCGCGGATTCATGCTTCGCTTGTGCATGAGTGAAGAGCAAACGTGACGGACCACACACACTCAGCATCACGGTTCGTATGCAGAGCGCTCCTTTGCTGTCGTTGCAAGATATTGCAGCAGGTCCTAGAGGAGGTGAAGGAAGTGCTTGCGGCATTGATGGGATGGCTGAAGGGCACGTGTTCGCGTGTGCGACGGCACACGGGCAGAGGGGAATTTCGGACCGGGGTTTTGGATCAACCCGTTGTGCCCAGGTTATGAGCTATTATGGTATGATGCTGATTGTGATGTGAGCTTAAAATGTATAGGACAAAGCTAGAGCAGCAGACTCAGACGGGTTGTTTCCACTAGAGGGTTGTTTCATAAACCTGTGCCTCTGTTGAACTGTATGTGCCGTGCACGTCCAAAAGAGGAAGGTGAGTTGGCTAGGCAGTCGTGAGTAAATAGGCGACGGGGAATTTGCGGTTGCGTATAGCGACAGTTGAATTGGGCCAGGCGCGTGAGCGCGCGCGCGCGTGTACGTGCGCGCTGAAATTCACCTGGGGCCCGCATGGGTACACTTGGGTATGAAATTCGAAGCTGGAGTACTTGTTGTCGATGGCCGTCTTGTAACTGAGCGGAATAGTGGAGGGATAGTTTGAATTTGGAAAATCCCGGTTGAGCTTCTTGCACGTGCATCGTGGTAGGTAAACAAGAGCTGAAAAAGCGTCTGTTCCATGGAACCGAGGTGAGGTTTACCACCTTTGGGTTATATGGGCAGTGAGGGTTCATTTAGTGTCATAAATTGCAAGTACTGTGTGCATAGCCCGAGGACTTGACTTGTAGGAATGTCCGTGTTGAACGTTTGCGGCATGTAAGGTGCGTGCTGGTTACCATAAATGTATGTAGAAGTATTCGTGGTTGGTGAGGTTGGAACACCAGAGTTTCTTGTTGTTTCCCGTGGCATCAGACTGGCTTTGGCTTTCCGCTGCGGCTTTCATTTTTGTTCAGCCTGCCATGTCAACGGGAGGCTTGGGAAAGCGGCCTTCTGCCAAACGTGTGTGTTTGCAAGAGAACAGCACATTATGATTAATATGCATCACCGGGCATCCTGGCAGTCGCCGGGCATCACCTATCGATGAGATCAGTTCAGGTACACACGGAATTGCGAATTGCGCGTGTGCCACCTTTTACCTTTTTCCGTCCTCGTGACCCGTGTTTAGTGTGTTCGGACTAACATCTCTCTTCTTGTTGTGCGAGGTGCGCGACATTGGCAATGTTTTGGTCCCTAGCGCATATTGCCTGACTGCCGCACTGCCTGACTACTCCTTCCCTTCTGGCCTTCATACTCAGCAGTGCGGCTTTTGCAACCTGGGCAGGGCGGCAATGCAACTTGTCCGCTAAACGGCCCGTGGATTGAACCTTTTTCGCGAGAATTGTATTGTTGGTGTGTCACTCTCTGGTGGTCCAGGGTGATCTCTCTGATGACACGAATTTCCTCGTCCTGTGGATACAGGTAAACTCGCGATCCCATTCACTGCATTGAGCATCGTCTTCAGTCTATTTTTCATGGCTCGCCTTCTTAAGGGGTTTGGGGGAAGAAAGCCTTGAAAAAAGGCCACCTGGAATCATCGGTCGTCTTTCCTCCTCGTCTGCGTGGTGTTTTTTTCTTCTGCTTGTGGCCCCGTACGATGCGATAGTCCTGTTGAAGAGACTTATAGATATACTGAGCGCCTGCAGCACGAATGATTTTGCGCAGTTAGGGGCCTCGTGTGTGTGCGCTTCTTTAGGTTGGTTAGGTGCTTAGGCTGTGATTAGGTGCGCATCTATTTTTTACTTGTAAAGTTGAACTTAAGCCTCGGGGGGTTGGTTAGAGGAAAGGCCCCCGGGACAATCCTTTGTCCCTCATGGCCTTCCCGGCTCAGATCTTTCTGGGTACTTATCAAAAAGACCAGCAGCGAGCAGTCGACGCGCGGAGTACTTCAGTGTGTTTCCGACGGCCATCGGAGATGTTGGACGAGCTAACTAACGGCAAAAGCCGCATGCTCCATCCACGGATCAGTGATACGTAGCTCCAAAGCCCTCATGCTTTTCCTCCATTCCATAGCGACCACCGACATCTGCCTGGAGCCGGAAAATTGAAACTCAAGTTGTTTTGTGCATGGGGCCGGCCAAGGAGTGGAAGTAACAACGATATTAGGGGTGCGGTTGATGGGCCTGACGCGCAATGGCCAAGACGTGGTAAGCTGGCTTCGGGTCATTCCTGTCCTGTAATGACTTGGATTATTGAAAAAACGGCCAGGCACGAAATTCACGACAGCAGTGGGCGAGGTTTGGACACGCAAGCATGCACCGGTGTGCGTGAAAGGCATGTGCTTTTTTGAGGCCCGGGCGTATAGCGCCTTTCGGGGCGCCGAGGCCCCCCCCCTGGCGTTCACAGCTGTCTGTCAGTCAGTTAGTCAGCGTCGTGTCTCATGGTGAACTCGCATGCCACGGTAAACTCAGAATTGTACACATACATCTGCGCGCGAAGGTAGCTTGCCCCCACCGCGCGCTGCTGGTTGATGGCTGGGAGGCCGTTGCTCCTCTACATTTGTTTCCAAGCGCCTTTATGGAGATCATCCGGATTATCCTTGCTTGTCACCGCTCGGCAACCCTGCCAAACCGGTAGTCGGTAACTGGTCGCTTGGATACCTGGCCGGTAGGTAATCGACATAACGAGCTAACGACCCAGTAACTGGGGGGTCACTGACCGATAAGGTTACCGGTAAGGTTACCGGTAAGGTTATCGGTCGGATACCGGGTCGTTATCTCGAAATGTCGGTTACCCTACCGAAGCGACCGGTTGGGTTATAGCTAACCGGTCGGTTACCGACCCTGCTATGCCATAGGGGGTGCGGTGTGTGCGCACGCTGGTTCTGATGCTTGTGCTGCTTTGATTGCTGTGCAGCTTTCTCGATCTTTCCTTGGGCTTCCTGGAAATAGCTGTTTATGGCTCAGCTCATCGCCACACTCCGCAACTCCATGCCAACTGCTCCAGCACTTCCCTTCTTGGCTTCTGCTCCGTCTCACGCACATCTCATACATGTCCTATTCTCCAGTTCGGCTGGCAATGGGGAACTGGGTTCGCGCACTACCAGGGGGCTGTAGATGCTCAGTCCGTTCTTGTTGAGATGGAGGCGGCGCGCAATGCACCGTCCATGGATTTGCATTGGCGCCTTAGCAGAAAGCATATACACCAGATTCATACATCACTCCAACGCCGCCAGCCGCCGCACCCGGCCCTAGCAGCTATCCATAATAATGAGCATATAGTCCAAACATGACACCGTTCCAGCAGAATACTGTGGGGCCACTGGCTGCACCGGGGCCGAGCCCTTTTCCGCTTCGACGAAGCTGACTATCCTAGTTTGTTCTGGGTGGTCTGCGTGTATGAGTTTGGGACTGCGCCCTGCGCACAGAGGTCCGCCTCTCCCTTCTTTACCCAGGAACCCAGGGAAGGGAGATTGGCTATTCAATGGCCAAGGCGGAGAGGCGAAGTTGGTGTAACGGTGCGTGTGTGTGTGTGCGTGTGTGTGTCTGTGTGTGCTTGTGTGTGTTCAGTGCTTCCATGTTCCAAGCGTTCCGTCTACGAAGAAGGTTCCATGGGATCTTGGTCCATCTATTCCCAAGTACTTCCCGTGGGCGATCGGCCAACTGTGGTTGGGACGCCATTTAGTAATTTGTACAGCAGGGAATCCGGGTTGTCGGAGGAGAGTTCCATGCAAGGGATTGGTAGCTTACCTTCAGTCTAAGGTGTCAATTGACTTAATTAGTGCACAGTTCTGGAGCCTGGCGGGGACAGCAGCACTTGGCCATTTTGCTTGCAGAGCCAATTTTATCCTCTCCAAGGCAACGCTATCGCTACGTGGTGCTGGTCACTTTGTTTGCATCTTTAATTTCCTATCATGACAGCTCGGCAGGTGCTTCGCTCTCCAGCATCTGGGGGATCGTCTGCTTTACGCAGACGGTTGTGTGCTTTCCAGTGGACGACGCAACGCGTCACTCGGAAAATTTGCCGCACAAATGCCGATGGAACCAATCAGGCTGCCAGTGGAAGCGACAGCGACGACGCGGTGGGCCCAAGCGACGCTGCGAATGGGAACCTGCGCCTGCCTAAACGGGGCTACTTCTCGATTGCTGACACAAACGCTGAAGTCTATTCACGGTAAGACCTGTTCTCATAAGTGCAGCTGATATGTCATCGTTATCTCTGCCGTCTGCCGGCCCACCAGCCACATTTGCACCCCAACGGCGCCACGCCTGAAATCAAGCAATTGCAACGCCCGCTTTCCCCATAACAAACTGGCAGCGCTGGTGACAAATTTGACCCAGCGAAAAAGGGCGGCCGCTATAAGCCGGAGTTCATTTGGAACACGGACTGGCAGACTGCGCTGGAGCGCGAGGAGTCCCTCCGGCGCAAGGTCGAGGAGGCGCGCGCCCGACCGCAAACGCCTTCCAGCGGCTTCCTCAGCCTCTCCCGTGTTGCCGATCTTGACCGCATGGATGTGGACCTGTCGGAGATGATTTTGCGGAAACGCAAAGAAGAAGCAGAGGCTGCGGAAGCGGCGGAGGCGACTGCTCGCCAGGCCCAGGCCTCTACCTCTGGCAACATCAGCAGAGGCGGCTCCTCCAGCTCTACCACGCAACCAAAATCCAACAAAGTCGTGCCCGTTTTTACACGTAAGGAGGCCGCGCGGCTGGGCCGGGTCAGCAAGTCGATGGCACGCACCGCCGTTGTCGTAGAGGTTCCGGAGCTGGATGCGGAAAAAGCACGACAGGCAGAGCTCGAACGACAGCAGTATGAACAGCTCAAAGTCGAGCAGCAGGTCTGGACGCTGGCCTTTTCCGTCGCGGGCTTTACGATGACGTACGTATCTTACAGCATGGATGTGGCAGTGAGCTATGTGGTGGGCGCGCTGGGCGGCTTTGCGTACCTGCGCCTTCTGAGCAAGTCGGTGGATGCGGTGGGCGCTGACGGCGTGCAGTCTGGGGTGAACAGTATTACCAGCCAGCCGCGCCTGCTGATTCCGATCATTTTGGGGCTGGGCTACAACCGCTTTAACCAACTGTATTCGGAGCAGCTTGGCGTGCATCTAGAGCTCCTGCCCATGCTGGTGGGCTTCTTTACGTACAAGCTAGCGGTGATTACGCGCCAGTACAAGGACGTGTTCGATGGCAAAGTATAGCGTTGAAGAACGGTGCCGGGCCGGCTGAAGGGCATGCAAAATCTAATGAACATGGGAATGGGGGAATTAGGTAGGACGTATGAGCGCCAGCACTGCGACTGTGCGCTGGTGTGTATCGCGACTGTGGGCTGACGTAAGAAAGGAGGCATGGAATAGACAGGGAAGGTCACAGGTTGTTGCTGTTCTGGCAATTTGCGGCAAGGACCCTATAAATTTAGATCATGCGGACGATACAGAAACTGGCTATGTTCTGGCGTAGCTTCATAATTTGGAAACAAGTCCAGGGCTCCGACCCGTGTACGGTGATAGCTAGATTTTTATTTATAGCATTTTTATATGTGGGACAATATGTAGGTAAGCATTCGCCTGGGATCATGCTAATATATACCTGATCTACTGTAATGTATGTATGCTCTTACAATGTCTCCAGCGCTTAGGTTGGACAAACGGTCATCCTATGCTGCGTGAACTGTCGTACGGTACAATGATATCAGGCAGCTTCAATGGGCTATAACTCTGCTGGAACACCTAAAGATTACATGTATCTTGGTGGAATGCGTACATTGTAGCTGGCCACTAGGAGCGTCCGGACATATCAAAGGCACTGCGCAAGTAATGGCACCCAAACGACGACATAGTGATGACGGTTTTCCTCAAGCTAAGGTACTAAATTATTAATCCGCGAGGCGCGCTTTCAAGGTCGTTTCCGCCAAGCGGGTGGCTGTCGAATTGTGCAGGAGCGGCGGGGCGGGAGTGATCAGCGGGAGCGGCTTGGAGTCGCTCTGTCCGGATTAAACGAGCAGTTTGCAAGGCATGTTGCCACGGGATGTATTTAATATTAGTCGATGAAGAACGCGCGCGTGAACTTACGGCAATGTGTTTTCATAACGCGCTGCAGCTGGGTTGCTTCAAACAAAGATTCAAACGTTCACTTGTTGTGGGTTGAGGGGGTGCGGGACTATGTCCAGCATGCGACCAAACTACTGGACGAGTACAAGGACATCGTGCCACTTGACGGCGTAACCGCGTTACAAAAAGCCGCCACAGGTAATTTTGACGACATCCATTGTTTTGACCCGTTGATGAGCGTCCCACTCCTGTGGGCTCTACACATCGCGTTTCTCCCTTTCTATCCGTGCGGGAGATCTGTCCCATGGACCCAGTTTGTGTTCCATCTGTCCCTGGCCTCACCGCCGCCGAACCAGAATGCCTTTGACCTCGCGGCCCCCGCGTATGTCGGCCCCGCAGATGCTACGAGCAGCCAAGGCCGGCGCGCGGAAGGCCAGTCCTCCGCAACCAAGGTAAGCGCAATACCAACCGTTCCTGCTACGGAGACCCCGTTCCCCGCCATCCGCATACTGCACCAATGCTCCCATTTCCTACCGCAGCGTCTGCTGCCGCGGCTCATCCGCGGCATACCGTTGCATACCCGATCTGGGTTGACGTCCTGGCAACCCCCACGTGCAGGCAGGAAGCAGCAAGGACGAACGCGCGGTAGTGTTCGTCCGTCGCGTGGCCGGCCTGAACCGCCAGTTTGCCAAGTAAGTCAATCCATGCACCCCCCAGGGAGTTGTCCAGGGACTGGCAGGCCTAAGTCCCACTCCTTGCACCAAGCCCTAAACTAAAGCTGTTCTCAACCCTGAACCGCTGGCGCACATAAACACATACACATAAACACACACCGTACACATGCACGCATTTACCTAACCCACCTTAACCCAAATTTCCCACACATTCCCCCACATTCCCAGGTGGGTGTCGAACAGTCTGGAGACTACTCCCCGCATGTGGTGGATGGAGGCCGCCGGTGACTACGTACTGCACGCCAACCGGCTGCTGGAGGACTTTGGCGACATCGTCTCACCGGACGCTTCAACTCAACCATCACGACAACCAGCAGCAGCAGCAGCAACAGGTTCAGGTGCTGCTATGGCCGGTGCGGCGGTGGGGGAGGGAGGCGCGGGTCACGTGGCTTGACGCCGGCTGCGATCCCGGTTCTATCTGTTGAGGCTGACAGGATGGGGTGTTAAGTATTTTGGGGCGTTGGGGCTTTGGTGATGTCAACTTGAACCGGGGGCGAGCGGAAGGTGTGTGGAGGACATGTGGTCGATGGAGGCTTGCCTTTTTGAAGTCGGTGGTCTCTCTTTCCTGCCGGTGGGCCGGGGCCTGGTCCATTGACCTGCTGGTCGTGTTCCTCTTGGTCCAGATCCGTCTGTCCGTATGTCTATCTAGCGGGCTGGCGCTTGCCGCCCCCACACCACCACGTGGTTCGTGGTTCGTCTTTCCCCCACACCACCACCACCGTCTCCTCCTTCTCCTCCTCCCTTCCTTCTATTTGCTGACATGCAATACCCCCCGCAGGATTACACGGCAACCTGGCAACGTGTATTCCGAAATCAAGATTCATTTAGTCATGCCTGGCTAACTAACAGTGCCCCTTTCATTAAACACTCCTGGGCCCCCGGAAACCCCAACTAACCCCCAACCAAACCCCGATCGACGCGTTACAGAGACGGAGGAACGTGACGCCGCCCCCTCGGGGCTCTTCATCAGTCGCTCCCCGGCTCCTGCCTCCACCACCACCGGCACCCCCACCCCCCTGGCCTTTGGCTCCGCTCCATTTGGTGGTACCTCCACGGGTGGCCTGTCAGGGCCGGCGGCTGCGGCTGCTGGCTCCCTCTTTGGTGCCCCCGGCTCGCAGCCGTCGTCGGGTGGCAAGGGCACTGCGCCAGGTGAGTTTGGCCAGGCAGGACTACCCACCAAGCCAAGCCAAGCCAGAATATGACTAGTAAAAGGACCCCACCGGCACGTATCTGAACCTCGTGAAGCAGCAACCCCCTTCCTAGGAAATCGCGGTTGATTCGGGCTGGGGTGATGAGTTGGGATGTGTTCCTGGCATCCATCCTGGCGCAGAAAAAACGGACTGGACACCGCGAGGGTTTACGTGCTGGGCTTCACAGCCTTCTTCTGTTTCTAGGGCTTTTGTGGTGCGGCTCCTTCTGCCCTACTGCTTTTGTTGTCTCTGACGTCGCGTCCTTTCGCCGTGTGTCCGTCGGGTTGCTGTTCGTCTTAACCTTTTTTCGTCCCTTGCTGTTTTTCTCTTCTCCCCTGTAATGCTCCCCTGTATCTCAATCTCTCTGCCCCCTGGGTTACTTTGGCGCGTCCCCCTTTTTTCTCCCATGCCAGCCACGGGTTTCATGGCCGCTGCCCCTGCGGCAGCAGCCTCCGCTGCCTCTGGCGCGGCGTCTGGCTCCTCTCTTTTCGGCAGCTTCGCAGCCCCCACCGTTATCACGGCCACCGAAACTGATGCCAGCACTACGACGAAGCCCAGCACCAGCACTGGGATGTTCGGCTTCTCCTTTGGTGCAGTGGCGTCTACGCCGGCGTCTGCGGCCCCCTCTGGCAAGGATGCCACAGGCGGCAAACCGCTGGCAACGGCGGCCGTCCCGTTGTCTGGGATCGCTGGTTCCAGTGCTGCCGCCAAGGAGAGGACGTCCGGCACAGCTGACACAGCCGCTGCTGGCGACAAGTTGACGGCAGCAGCGGCGGCGCCGCCAGCAACTTCAGCGCCCAGCGCCGCTGCTGCTACGGTGAGCGGCGCCGGCGCTGGGCCACCCGCCGTCTTTGGCGCGGGACTGTTTCAATTTGGGGCGCAGCCATCGTCTACGCCAGCGTCGACGGCAGCGCCAGCGGCGCCGGCTTCCACTGCCGGTGGGTCGACAACGTCCTTGGCGTTCGGTGTTGTCAGCAGTGACGCCGCGAAGCCTAGCAGTGTTTTTAGCTTCGGCGGCGCCGCTTCCGCTTCTGCAGGCGGCGGCAGCAGCACGGCAGCGGCAGCGACGACGCCTAGCATCACCTTTGGCGCCGCGCCAGCCTCCACGGCGGCGGCGTCCTCCGGCAGTGGCAACGCCGGGGTTCCCTCGGGACCCGTATTTGGGGGCAGTACTGCCGCCGCCGGCGGAAGTACGGCACCTGCGTTCGCATTCGGTAGTGCGCCCGTCACCACAGGCGCCGCAACTAGGTCTGGGCCCGACGGTGACGCCGCCAAGAAGGATGGCGGCGGCGGCGACATCACCAAGAACACCGGCGCCAGTGGCGGCGATACAGCGCCGGCGCTGGCGGCTGCTCCGGGAGGTTTCTCGTTCTTTGGAGCATCGACGGCAGCCCCTGCCGCTGCCAGCGGCACGGCCCCCTCCACCGGCGGCTTTTCCTTCGGCAGTGCGGCGCCCGGGTTTAGCTTTGGACCCAAGCCGGCGGCGGCGGCACCGGCGGCAGCGGCAGCGGCAGGTGTGTGCGTCCTGTGATGGGGCCGGGGGGCGGGACCTGGAACTTCTGAAAGGGGGCCCCGTGAGCGGACGTGGGGGGCAACGTTGCGCGGCCATCTGTACTCTGTGACTTGCCTTGTCTTGTCAGTTTTACTCTCATTAACTGTTGTGGAGCCATGCTTCCCCCGGGATCAAGGCGTCTGTGCGGTCGCCGGGGCTCCGGAGCTACAACTCCCATCACCCTCACACACCCCCCGGTCTATGGTCCTTTCTTTTAGTCAATCGTCCGTGCTTTGTCGTAGCACACACACACACCGGATTGTTGCTGCCTTGACGGCATCCCGCACATCGTGCTCGTAATTCCGGCATTGCGTATGTGTTTGCTGCCTGTACTGCGAGCTATTTCTTCTGCTGTCCTAAATAAGCTCCCGGTGTCCGCTGTTGACCCCGGTAATATTCGTGGTGGTTGTTTTCGTTGGTGGTTGGTGGTTTTCTTACTCCTCCTGGACGTTCCAGATGCTGAGGCAGAGGACAACGAGCCCGAGCAAGAGCCCGATGAGTGCGCCAAGGAGCCCAGCCTCAAGGTGCGGCTGTGTAAGGCTGCAGGGGCGCGGGAGGGGGAAAGAGAGAGGTTGGGGGCAGCTGAGTAGTAGGGCGTTTCTAAGGGAGGATGAAGTAAGCTTTACATCCCCGTTTCTTATAGCGCTCGCTGCACTCTCCGCATCCATCCATCCACACATCCCCCCACTCAGCCGCATGCGTCCAACCCGCCCTCACCCGACCCGGCAGGTCGACGACAATGTGGACTTCCTGTTCCGTGAGAAAGCCCGACTGCAGCTGCCCGTCAAGGGCCCCGACGGCAAGCTGTCAGGCTGGGAGGCCAAGGCCATGGGCATGCTGTCTATCCGCAAGGCCAAGACCGAGGGGGCCAAGCCCTACATCGCGTTGTTCACAGACGCGGTGAGTTCATGTATCCAGTGTGTGTGTGTATATATAGGTTTTGGTACCCTCCCACAACTAAGTTAATTTGCAAGGCCGGGCTATTCGTGAGCCTTTACGTGGTGGTCCCTACGACAAGGAACCGTTTTGGAGTCTCGCGCACTCCGCCGGGTCTGTTGGACCGACCTTGTCGGGGGTGCTTTCTTGACCACCATGGCTTCTGGTAGGCGGGGGTCATAGTTTAAGGACTATGTCCTTTCCATCCCCTCCCCCCGTCCCCCTTCCCCCACCTTCAAGAATGCCTACTGGTCAGTTCTGCTTCATGTGCACTCTTTCTCTTCACTCGTTCGTGGTTCGTCTTTCCCCCCTCCCCACACACACATATCTGAGCCCCGGTGTTCTGGCAAGATGGAGACTTTCCGGCCAGCTCTGGCCCAAGGAACGGCCGGACGTAAATCCACGCCTTTTCCTTAGACAGGGCCAAGATTTTCCCCTTCAATTTCTCCTAAGGAATCGTTCCTTGAGAAAACACTGGCCCCTGCTCTCTCTCTCTCTCTCTCTCTCTCCTCCTCTTGCCCCTGTTTCCTATTGCACAAGATTCATCCTTTCCTTCCCATCTACCCCACCAGTTTCTTGTGGCGATTCCTTGCAACTAAAGCCAACCCCCTTAACCCCCCCTCTACCCCCCGAAAGGGTCGCTGCCTGTACCAGGCCTACATCTACAAGACTATGAAGCTGGTGGTCAGCGACAAACAGAAGAGCGTGGCTTTCTCCGCCATGTGGAGCCCGGATGGCACCTCGCCGCCCAGGGTGAGCCGGAGGGGTTGTGGGGGGAGGGGGGAAAGGGGGGGAAAGACGAACCACAAACGAGTGAAGCTGCTGCCAAGGAGCAGAACTGACCAGTACGCGTTCTTAAGAAGTGCGGCGACCTGGGGATGATGTAATGAAGACGACCGCGGAAACCTACCTACCTAGCCGCCAAGACTAAAGTAAGAGTGGAGGAAAAGTTGTAATACGAAGCCGTAAGGAAGTAAAGCTAAGTGTACAGGCGGCGAAAACGTAGTGCTGACGTAAGGGGAAAGGGGGGAATTAGAGGTTAGGCCAGGCGGACACCAGTCTGGGCACACTGGTAAGGTAAGGGCCGTGCTGTAGAAGTACTAAAGGTCTATTTATATTTTTCATGTCATGAATGATTTACAAAATATGCAGACGTATATTACATATATAATATGATATTGATACCATTATTGGTTGCCGAGGGCTCACAGATGTGACCGGGGGGTGGGACTGCGTTCCGAACTGGGGCGGGATGCCACCTTCGGGATGGGGCCGCCTTGCCGCTGAGGGACGGGGTGGTTGTTCGAAGGACGAAAGATCGAGTTGAGCCTCAGGAGCCACGAACGCGGAGCGCAGTGCAAAAGCCCCGCCCTAAACAAATGAGGAAGAGGGAGCGAGGAATAATGAACCTGGACAGATTTGGAGGCGGGCGGGCCCAGCGACAGCGACAGTGACAGTGACATTGGGCCAACAACGGTGCGGTGCCACAAAGCTTACTGCTTGTAAAAGCGTCCCCGGATTCCACCCGGCTCCGTACCACATCCATCCCCCGTGCTCCTCCCCTCCCCTCGCCTCTCCTCTCCTCGTAGATGAGTTCCGCTTTGTTCCAGTTGGCGAAAACCAAGAACCGGACCTTTGAGGAGGTGGTGCTCAAGCTTCAGGAGGAGATGACCGAGTGAGGGAGCGGCAAGCGGGAAGGGCGGGATGGCGCTGCACGGAGAGGGAAGGGCGCGCGTGTGTGTATGATATGCTATGCGTGAATGGCGGAGCGATTTTTTGCGAGGAGGAGGAGTCATTCGCGAAGTGTTGGGGAGGGGTGAGGAGGGTTGATGTTGACGGAATAGTACGAAGGTATGCGATTGATGAAGGCAAGGCGTCGTGGCGGGGCGTGGCGGCAGCGGAGGGAGAGGGGGCCATATTGTTTGGAGGGAGGAGGAGGGGAGGGGGCTGAGCAGCATAAACAGAGGAGGTGGTTGTGAACGAGCAGGCGGATGGAGGGTGATGACGGGGATTGTGTTTTAAGATTCGGGTTAGGGGATTAGGTACAAAAAGTATGTCGTTTGTTTGGGACTCGGCGGACGTGCGCGTTACATACAGGCGCTGCTCACATAAGCGCGGAGTGGTGCGGTACTCGACTAAAGGAGCATACCCTTTTGAAATCCTAAGCTGTGTGTTGTGAGGATTTGGATGAGATCGAGATGGGAGAAGGCCTGGGAAACGAAGGGGGTGTTCTGGAAAGCACGGGAATGTTGCCGATAATGATGATGACGAGGAGGATGTGGTTGGGCATTTAGCGTTGCGTGTGGGTGGAGCACGAACGAGTTGCTGAACAGCTCTGAACAGCTCTCACGCTTGACTGGGCGCGTTGTTACACTAACCCGGGGTATTGCCTTTGACGATCACGTGGACATGTGTGATGTTTTGCCCCCTGTGAACGGAGTTGGGATTTGTTTCCCAACGCCTAGGCACACTATAGTGTGTGGTGATGACAGGTACTCTGTGCATGGATGCATGGAGCCGTAGTCGACGGCCTTCCAAGGGAGAGCACAAGGCCGGAGCTTTCCCCTGGGCGTCTAGGGTTGAGGGATGAGTGTCCCACATGGCTCAGCGGAAATCACCATACAACCAACGTGCGCGGACTGGGTACGTCCCCCGCTATCATCATGAACTGCGTTGGAGAGGTTTACATCTGCCGCAAAGTTGCTGGGTTGCTGTGTCTCTGCACACGTCGCGAACGTAGTTCCGGAAAAAAACAATAAACTGTGAGTACTAACTCCAAGGCTGTTAAGATGCAATATGTTATCTCGTTCAAAAGCCAGGATTGGCCAAGAATGATACGTTTAATGCTCAACATTATTGACGCTCGTCCATGAGTGGTCGGAGTTGTACCGCGCAGGTATACTTACGCAACTGTGCGACCACGACTACTGTTGGGCCTATTGTCATACACGTGCCTACGCCAAGCCAGGACGCTTGGCTGCTCTAGTGCAGTTGCTATCCTTACGAAACAGTCGCAGAAATGGCCGACGCCAAGGAGCAGCTCAAGGCCAAGCTCAAGGCGGATCCCTCGTTCCGCGCTGAGCTGAAGGACCGCATTAAGGGCGCGCTCCTTTCAAAGGTGCCTGCAACGCAGGCCATTTCCTACAACTTCGACAGCTACATGCTCACGGAGGTGCAACCGGGCCAGCTGCGTGTGCTGGAGGTGGATGAGCGCCTGGTTCTGCCCACCAATACGCTCATCCGTTTGCTTGTTACCGCCTCGGACGTGCTACACAGCTGGGCAGTCCCTGCGCTTGGCGTGAAGATGGACGCCATTCCTGGGCGTCTCAACCAAGTCTGGCTCTCCATCAACCGTGAGGGCGTTTTCTATGGTCAGTGCTCTGAGCTATGCGGTGCCAACCACAGCTTCATGCCCATTGTGGTTGAGGCAATCAGCCCACGCCAGTTCCTCACCGAGTAAGTTTACAATTTCGAGCGGGAAAGGGGCTGTGCTTGTTTGCTTTATGATCCTCATGATTAAAGGGTGATACTTAGTGTGCACGGGCCGCCACGTTGCGGTGATGCTTGGTCTCTGCTTTCGTGTGACAATTGCTCCTTCCCTCTTCTTTGCTATGCAGGTACGTGAAGAAGTGGATCTCTTAACTCATGAGCACCCTCGGCTAAATAGGCTTGCTTCCGAAACAAAGGGCCATAACGGAAGCCCTGGGCTTGTCCTTAACAGTGCGCGTGCTTGTGACAAGTTTGTCTGTCTTAGATGATAGCTCTGACTTTAGATTTGGACTAGATTGAGGAGTGGGTGACTTGTGATTTCACGCAAGTGTTGCTAATCGTAACGTGCTTTTTGCCTCTCATCGATTACCCTTCGTATGGGGTACTACATAGGCTGTGGTTTATTACGATGGACCATCCAAACCTGGATTAGACGAGTAGATGTGGTGCATTGTAACCCTGTAAATTTTATGATTGCTTATAAATAACCTCCTTTTACCGACGCATATGCACGTCTTCAACTCCAGAACAGCATTGAAATGACGAATCGACGGCCCTTTGTCCCGAAGGACGGCATCAGTTAGGGCGTTGGTTTCGGGCATACGCGGTGGTAATCCGGTCCAGCCAAGGAAAGTGAAAATAACATAGGCAATTTAGCTAAAATAGATTATTTGTCATTCTTTTACTGTGCCATTCACGTGTAGTGTCATTTCATTTCTTCCTATTCTGTTCTGCTGCGCCTCAATACTTCTACCGAACGCCTGGCAAAATGGACATGACGCTAGATTGCTCGTGTAGTGAACACTTTCCAGGAACAAGCTATACTCGTGATAAGGGTCCTTTGCAAAGAGTGGTGTCGATAATCTTTGTTTGCTCTGCGCTCCTTATTCGCGTCGACGCAACAAGCTTTCGCGATGGAGACTACATTCACACATCACGCAAAGCACAGTTCCACCAGGTACCATGTTATTGTGCCCGGTTATTGCCTCGACAGTTGCGGACTCCATTTGTGTCCCCGTCAATAGGCCCGAACGAACTGGCAGGACCTTCTTGGTCAACATTGTCCTCGGTTCGGTATCGACAGACTGGTACGCTGTGCTGGGCTTTCTGCGCGCAATAAGCCACAGCTCTGGCTGGCCGATCTGACACAACCATTCCCGCAGGTGGCCGTCCCCATCCCGAAACCGCAGCTCCCATTTGGGGAAAAGGACACCTACAAGCTGCAATTCTCGTTTGACGGTACGTGAGGTAGTTTGGGACCCGCCAGCTGGGTCACCTCGGCTGAGGCGGTTTCCGAGGCGGCATGGATGTGATGACCCAGCAGCCGGCACCCAGTTCCAACCCCAGAACTCTCCCCCATCCATGACCCTTCTGCCCTGACTGATCCATCGCAACCACTGCACCCACATGTACATCCCCTGAGTGCGCGACGCTCTCTTGTTCTTTCTCCTTGGCGCTCTGCACCCACCCTCCCCTTTTGCGCATTCATTTCATATGTTTTTTTGGTCTCGAATGTTTTTTCTTAAGTAACAATTGTTCCCTAATTTCCTTTTCCTCTTGCTTCTCTTGCTCTGGAATCCCCGCCACATGCACCTCTCCAGGTGACCGCCACCTGACCCCCTGGGTGCCGCTTCTGGGCCAGGGCGCCCCCTCGGTGCCCCTCGTGATGGTGACGTTGCGTCGCTCCGGCACCGAGCTGCTGGGGGCCTCTGCGGAGGTGAGGAACACTGACGGTTGGTTGCGGCAGTCGGGGTATTGCGGCTGCGGCAGGGGCCGTTGCTGCTGCAGCTACTGCTACTGCGGTTATTGTCCAGCAAGCAGCAGCAGTACGGCAGCAGTGCCACTTGATGCTGTCCAGCAACCTGGGGGGCCGGGGAAAGAGTAGCCAGCAGTACGGCAGCAGCAGCAATGACTACATGAGCAGCACAGCAAGGGCGCCAGTAGCAGCAGCAGCATGGGGCCGGATGTGGGGCAGGGTGGAGGGAGAACTGTGAGGATGGCTAGGGAGGTATGCCCTAGCGCGGGGGGTGGGCGAGCGCGCCGCCGGGCAGTAAAATGCACACGTATGCGAACATGCACTGGAGGGGGGTAGCGGGGGGTCACAGGGCGGACCGCACGCGGAGGAACAGTTCCTCTCAGGGCCAGACAGGGGTAGGGCGCTGTTAGGGGGTCGTGGGGGCCATGGCGGCGGTGCTTTACTAACCGGAGAGCCTCCCACATGCGTTTAGAAACCGTCAACTCCTCGACCGATAAAGGGATGTTCAAATTTTGAATTCGCCTATTAATTTCAACAGGTCCCAACAAACAACTCCCCCAACCAACAACCGATAACCGACACCAACAGGTTGTCGATGCCCCGGCGGAATACCAGCAGCATCACCCGGTTCTGGTGGCGGAGATGCGCAACGTGAGCCACTGGCCCAAGCACGTGTTGGTGCACTACCGCTTCGACACGCGAAACGATGTGGATTTGGACAGAGGTCTTTACCTGCTCTTCCCCGCAGGTGGGTGGGTCCTAGTGCGGGGGCCACTGAGGAGGATTGAGGAAGACGCAAGTTGCTCCCGGGGACATCAATTGGAATCTGGGGGTTCTAAGTCTTGGCACTATTTGGCATACGAATGAAAGGGGACTGTTTGTTTGTGTGCATGTGTGTTTTTGTATACGTGTGGTGTGTGTGTATATATGTGTGTGTGTTTTGCTGAGGAGTGATTTCCTTGTGTTTTTGCGGCCGGTTTTGTCACGCGTTATTGGAGGCTGGGGAGGAGGTATATTTATATGTGTATGTATGTGTGTATGCGTGTATGTATGTTTATGTGTTGCGAGGTCATGACACCGAATGGCATGATGGAAGAGAGCTGGTCTTTGTGGTGCATGTGATTGATGGTCGTGACGGCATCCTCTTATCCTCCCCCCCTCCTTTTCCCTCCCCTTCCTTCCCCCCGTCCCTGCCGCTTTCTTGCGTCATAACCCGTGTCGGCCCCCCAGGTCTGTTGGCAGTTCTGGCGCTGTGTCTGAGCGCCCTCCGGGGGGTGCAGCCCAAGCTAGCCCAGTTCCTGTCGGAGGTGACGGCGGAGGGCACCACTGGCGCTGGGGGGGCCCCTGCGGTTGCTGTGTGGAAGGGACCGCAGGGGAAGGGCGAGTGAGGGAAGGGCGAGTGAGGGGCCAGGAGGAGCAGGAGGGTAGGGGTAGATGTGGGGGCCAGGGGGCAGTAGTAGTAGTAGTAGGAGAGGAGGAGGGGTTAGAGGATGAGATGCCGGCAAAGCCCCTGCTCATGCACACCCCAGCAGCCGTCTCCAGGGGTGGGTAGAGTATAGCCCCACCACACGAAGGTACTTGTTACCCTGCGGTGCCGTCCGGTGGGGAGATTGGTTGGCGGTCATGTTGGTGTGTTGGAGAGGCGCGCTGCTGTTGAGGCTGGCGGCACGGTGAGGTGCAGTGTGCGGTGTGTTCAACGTTTCGGGATGGGGGGATGCCGTCGGGGGTTCGGTTTTGAGTCGTTGGGGGGAGAGAGGTACTCAGCTTGGGGGAGAGAGGGGCGCGGCCGGTAGCCCGTGCTGGGGGTGTGCTGTGACTTGTTGGCCGCATTGCATGGCTGGCTGTGTGTGCGTGTGTCAGTCCTTGGGGGTGCTGGCGACTGGTGCGGGTCCTCCCTGTGGCTGTTCTCCCCCACCTGCCTCTCGCTCGACCTCCCCCTACCTGGATGCGTCACCGGGTCGCTTATATGCCACAACGGTTCCACTTGCGTGTGTAATGTACGGGGTTATCTGAAGTGGGTCGTACAGTATTACTTCTGGGCTTCCCAGCATAACTTCCTCTCCCCGTTGTGGCTGTGTCCTGTGGGGCGAGAGGCGGTTTGGGCATGTATAGCCTGCTGCTATGTCGCTGGACCCTATGGTGGGGTGACCATTCGAAATTTGTTTTATGTTACTATGTTCCTCCTGGACCAGTGTTTGGCGCGTTGGGGCGCAGGATCTGGTTTGCAGGGTGATTGTTCTCACTGCACCTACCCGCGCTGTTTACAGTTGGATCCATTCGCATTGGGTTCTTTTAAGCGGCAGCTTTCACAGCGTTACGACCACCTCGCCTTGGGAGCAGCCCACGACAGCTCCGCAATTCTGCGCCACGCATTCTCAACGTCATCCACAACGGCAGGCAAACTGAAATTGATATGTTAATTCCACTTGCAGCGGCAGCGGGCCCAATCGATTGTTGTTATTCTGTACGCCTCATGTCAGTGGGCGAGAGGTCCTATCATGCAGGGCATGAGGGTTTTATGGGTACCTTGAAACACGTTGCCCTCGCCTGCAATACACCCAGGGCGCCGAAAGGGCTGCTGGGGGCGGCGGCAGCCGCTGACTGAGGAATGTGATCGAATGCCAACGCCGTCGGGCCCGGGCTAAAAGTGGGCCTAAACCTGCATGGCCATGTCCTGCCATCCGAACAGAACCTCGTCACCTCAGCCCCATCACACACTCAAGCGGAGAGCTGCACTTCACGAGCTGCCGTCGGCCGTGGAGCCTTGCACTGGTCAAATCAGTCCGGTTCAAAGGCCAGAGTGCTGCAAAGTAGATGCATCGTAATGTACTGAGCTGCGAGAAGGAAATGGCGAGGGATGGCACATTGGAGCAACTTTGTCTTATCTAGGCAAGGGCGTGTGGCAAGGGCGTGGACTGGCCTGGCGTAAGCGCCGTGCTGGCCTCCAGAGAGCAGCCGCAGGAGCCATCTTCCGTTTCGGCATCCACACGTATCCGAGCTCGACCAGTGGCCACGGATGCCTGGGGTGGCGGCAGCGGCGGATCATAGAGAAGAGAGAGGGGGTGAGACTCCCTCGTACCTCACGTGGTGAGTGGTCTCGTGATAGGCGTGCTGATAGGATAAGTATCCGAAAGTGCAGGGCCCAGTGGATGCGAGCGGATGGAAGATGGGACGGCACGACCAGCAAGGTTAAAAGGTACCCACCGTCCCTTGCGCTCGCTCAAAAAGACGTGAGGCTTGTCGTGCATTTGGCGAAAGCCGTGCCGTGAAGGAGGCTTCTGCGTAAGTGACATCCGAGGTTATACACACGGATTTGGAAGGCAAGATGCCTTTGATCCACAGTTAATCCCCTCCACCTGTTCGCAGTCGCCCGGCACTAGATGGCTGAGGGATAGGATGGTATTGGGTATAAAAAACATGAGGCTGGATCGGTTGCTACTATTTTTACGTGATGTAAACATATTACCTATTTCCGAAAATGCGGTAGGTCAAACCCTTGAATTTTAAATTTGACTCTATTAGACAGGAGGCATGTTTTGATAGTCGTGCTTGCTGCGTTTGCCGGCGTGCTTAGCGTGATGTGGAGCCGGTGGGGAGGGACGGAGCCTGGCGGGAGGTCATGTTGCTCTGCCACGGTCACTATCGGCTGCAGCGCTGGGACCCTGCGTCGTGACATCCGAATCTACTTGTTCAATAAGCCTAAGCAGCTTCGATACTCCTGACAACTCAGGAGGGGCCCCGGCATCGATGAACAGTCCAGATCTAAACATAAAGCAAGCTCCAAGATTTTCTCCATGTTCGCCATGAAACATTCGATACAAGCTTTGGATTTTGTTCCATCTTTACCCTGTTTCATCCCGCATGGCATCGGAACTTATGGATTCACGATCCAATCGTCCTGCTTTTAGGGCCAAACTGCTAAAGGCGCAGAGTGCGTCGCAGGACTGTAAAATAATTACAAATACAAATTTGGATAAAGTACTCCTGGCGGAATCAAGACGTGTGCCCGAAACATTTTGGCGACAGACCGGTTTGTAGCTGCTTGCGATTTAGGCATCAAAGCACATCCAGCTTGGCTGCTGTTACCTTGGGCACAGTCCTTTATTGAGGAGCTCCTGAGGGCCATGCATCACCAGCCCCAGCACGAGATTCATAGTGGAAGGATAACGCACTATGAAAGCTGCAGCGGGATGATCACGAGTATGTTCGGTGATGGCCGCTACTATCAAATCCCTTTTTCGAGGGTAAGGATACGGCTGTTACTATGGTCCTTTCGTTACAGTGATTCGCGATGGAAGATCTTCATTTCGCCCAGCAGGCGTTTGTCGTCCCGGCTCTTCTGCCCAACCTGGACTTATGTGTTGGACTAGATGTTCAATACAGTTTGCACCGTCCATACGGGGAGGGACACCCTTACGCTTACAACATCCGGGTACTGACACCACTACCATGGATGAGGCCCGCACCCCCGATCAACTGGAATCGACCGTGCAACGCAGTCGTCGGTACAAGATCGCCAGCAGTTTGTCCGGGCGGTACGGCCTTGGCTGCTGCGGCCACTGTTCCTCTACCTAGTTCCCCAAAGCACGCAGCCTCCAAAGGTGGCGACAATACTGGTCGCAAAAGTGATAACGGAAATGCCGGTAGCGATCTGGCTAAAGCGGAGCGCCAGGTGTCCAAGTCTTCAGGACTTGGTGAGCAAGGTGCACGGCCATCCAGACCAGCGACAGCAGCAGGCCTCACGACCGGGACCTTGACACCCAGCCGTCACCGCGGCTGGTGGCCTTCAATCAGTGCATGGCTGCTGACCGCAGGTGGCAATGGTGCCATAGTCACAGCTGCCACTGCGGCTTCAGCGATGCCAGATACCGCGGTTGGTGCCGCAACATGTAGCAGCATGGTCACCAGCGGCCTCAATGCCGCAGGTAATAGTCACCAGCATCAGCCGCCCATGGCACGAGCTCAAGCCATACCGCCGCAGCCAATCCACCCATCTTCCCTTCTTTGCACCCTGGCGCCTTTGCCCCAAGATTCACCTCACCCTTCCAATCCACCACCA